CTAGCTATGATTTTGATCTTTTGAAGACTATATTGCTTAAAATTTAAAAATTGCTTGACTTGAGAGTCCAGTACTCCTTGTATGCCTTGAGGATGCCATTTAGGAGTAAATTTTTCAAAAGATTGATATCTTGCTTGCATTTGTGGTCCACATCATCCTGATTTTGTGATTGTTTTGAGATTCATTCTAGGATTCTACACTAGCACCGGCGTACGCTAGCATTCAATTGTGGGGTACATGCTTTGTTGATTATTGAATTGGTTATATCCCAATTGGGCTAGTAGTGCATTGAAAGCTTTCATTCTTGATAAAGGTGGATAACAACCCCTTTTCATTGAGTAGCCGGGATTCTTGCCTCATTAAGCAGTGAACTTCTCGCGCCAAAAGGTGGAGGGCCCAAACTCTAGGTTAATACTTGATTAAAAAAAAAAAAAAAAAAAAAGTTGCAAAAGCAATAAAAGTGAGGACTTCTCCCAAAAGGCGAGAAGAGGGAAATGATTAGATGGTTGTTGTCTTGATTTGTAGCCTAGTTGATTTGAGTTTGTAAGTCCGTAGGGGTGTCTTAACACCTAATGCCCTAAAGCCATCTGGTTTGGGAGTCATTGACCTAAAGCTCGCTACATGAATCTTCTAAAAAGCTTAAGAGATCAACACATTGCATAATACTTCCATCTTTGATCCTCAATAAAAAAAATAATAATAAAATAATAATAATAAAAAAATAGAGTGAAAAGAATAAGCGCACCTAGAACAATAAAGCTTTAATAAAAGGTCCACTCTCTTATCTTGATGATCGGTACTAGATTTGTGTGTTAGTTTGAGGGTAAGGATGTGATTACTTCTCTAGTTAGCTAAGATAGCAACACACTTGATGCTGGACCTCTCACATGGATTCTAGACTTGTTTTGATTTTCATGATCATTTTCTTGATATGTGGAGGACCATACTTGCTTGCTTGATATTGAAATTTTGGGAGATTGCTTAGAAACGGTTGAAAAATTACATACTTGAGGTAGTTTTCTCCCAATGCTTGTTTGCAATATTGGTGCCTCTTTTGAAAGAATGAGCTTAATGTTTGTGGGCACCATTTCTGGAAACCCTCACGAGACTTTACTCGTCCACTAGGGGTAACCTAAGGGTTTAAAAGGCTTGTTGCATATGCTAAATGCAATCGTGTTCCCTACGAAAATGGTGTTATCATTTTACTTGCTTTCCAGTTTATACTTACTTAGTTGTTCATTTCATTCCTTTACTTCTTAGTTCATTGCTAGGGACTAGCAATATTTAAGTTTGGAGGTGTGATGAGCACTGAAAAGTGCGCATTTAAACCCGTTAAGCTTAAGCATTCTAGTACCTTTATCTATCTTACTTTGCCGTTTTAGACTTATTACGTGTTATTTATATTTTCAGGCACTAATCCCAAAATTGAGCTAACTCAGCCAAATAAGAGCTTAATTGAAGCAATCCTGAGATAAACCAAAGGAGGGAGCAAAGTGGAGAAAGAAAGGAGCAAAAAGGAATTAAGTTGTGCAGCTGAAAAGTTCGATCGATCCAACTTAGAGTTCGATCGAACATCTATGATCGATCACAGTACTTCTCAATAGATCCAACCTTGGCCTTTGCTGAAATTCCAAGTTCGATCAATCCAACATCACCTTCGATCGATCGAACCCTATTTTGTCCTATTCAAATGATTGATCTTATCCATAGCTGTACGCCTACCAACCACTTTTGTCCTTTTCCCCAAAAATATCTTCGAAATATCTCAGCCTTGTCCTTATCCGGAGGAGTCAGACCACTTAGATCGATCCAAGATGCAGTTCGATCGATCGAACCCATCTTCGATCGATCCAAGTTAAGGTTCGATCGATCGAACTTCCTCCAGCGAGAAAAAGTTAAAGTCCAGCTCATTTATTCCGTCCTTCACCCAATCATTGGAAAATATGCCTTGCACGACCACAGCTCATCATAGGGTGTATTTGACCTACCTATATAAGGAATATGATACACTTTTTGGAGGGGGGTCTAGAGTCTCTTGTCACACATTGAAAATCATTTTTTGGAGGCTATTCTTGGAGAGGAAGAAGGGAGGAAGCTAGAGCAACCATTGGAGGAGATCTTCACCAACAAGGAGCAGCCATGGAGTTAGCCCTTGAGGGTTGGATCATCACTACTATGAGTGGCTAGACATCTTCTTGGGGCTAGAGTTAGCCCCAAGCATGCTTTCTATACTCTAATCTTGTGTATTATTGAGGGATTAGTGTTGTATGATACATCTTGATATTCATGTATATATAAATCTTGATTATTTCATGGTTTGTATGGTTTAATGCTTCCAATTGACTATTCTATTCTAACCATATGTCTATGTATGCTAGAGTAGGATATTCATGTGCTTATCTCTAGATTTAGTGTTTTTGATGCATGTCTATGTGTATTGATGCTATAGATTTAGAGATTATTAAGATGATATGCTTAATGAATGCTATTTTGGTTCATTTGATGGTTTATGCCTAATCTTGATGGTTTGTGCCTCTCCCCTAGTCTAGATAGCTTTATTTTCATGCTAGTAGTGTAGATTTAGTGTAGTGGTAGTATAATGTTAGATGGGAGGACAATCTACTCTTGATGTTTGATGTTCCATGCTTGTGAGTCCAAATGGCATATTCCTCTAACATTGTGTTGTATGTGGATTGTGAGCTTAATGAAGGATTAATGACTTGTTTTGATCTATTATGCTATCCCCATGTTGTCTAGACAATATATGCTCTATTATTTAGATATATTGTGCTCTTCACATGATGTTTAGACAATACTTGCTTGATTTGTCATCCTTGCCAATTGAATCAACCTAATGCACACACACCCTTATCATATTGCAACACATCCATTACCCTCAATTGATCACTTGTTAGTAGTATAGAAAAGTATTGCTTGGTGGTGATCTCTACACCCCAAGACTTCTCTCTCTCTCTTGTTTACCTCATATTATTTTATTTAGTTGAATTCAATTTAGCTTAATCAACCAACCAACCAATTGTGTGATTACTCGACCTACTAACCCTAATTACCATAGTTTCACAATTCGATACACCATCAAATCCCTTGGGACGATCCCTACTCGCCCTATCTATATTTTATATAGAGAAAGGTAATAGTGGCTTTTTATAAATGTAAAACTTGGCCACCTCCTAAATTCACACAACTCTTCAAGCTTGACTTGGTATCGCGACCCTTGTAAAAGAGGACCCGGTCACTAATGTGTAGACCTAAAAAGGAAGGAGGGCTGGGTATTAGAAAATTACTTAATTTACAGCATACTTCCCAGTGCGTTTTGGCTTAGAATTATTTGCAAAATTCAGACAGAATTTGGGTTCCATGGTTCAAGAACAGGTACTCTTTTACTTCTACTTATTGGAATGCAGTTCCAAATTTTTCTCATTCTATTCTTTGGAAGAACTTGATTAATTCCAGGGATCTTATGCATCTCAATATTAGTTTTTCTATTGGTATTGGGCATAGTTTTAAGATTTTGACAGACCCTTGGTGTGAAGGCCAAACATTGATTCAAAAATTTAGTCATAGAATTGTTAGAAGGTTGGGGTTTACTTGGGATACTCCTTTGTCTAATCTTTTGGACAATGGTGAATGGAATTTGGAGCTTTTACAAGACAATACGTTTCGGCCAATAAAGGATTATGTTCAGACTCTGATCATTCATGCAAGAGCAGATTGCCTTATGTGGGATGGAGGTCCTTTTACTTTCAAATCAGCTTGAGAAAGTTGCAGAATTAATCATCCAAAGGTGGATTGGTTTAAAGTTTGTTGGGGAAAATCTCGGCCTAGATGGTCTGTGTTTGGCATTTTTCTATTTCAAGATCGGCTTCCTACAATGGTAAATCTTCAGAGGAGGAAGGTGCAATTAGCTTCAAGGTGTTCTTTATGTCTATAGGAGCGTGATACCAGAGACCATCTGTTTGTTGGGTGTTCTTATGCAATTAGTTTCTGGAACTGGATTGTGGATATTATGGGTTGGAATTTTGATATTTCTTTATTTTCTACATTAGAAGACTTGCTATATTGGTTCTCTCAACAGACTAATTAGATGATTTATTCAATTTTTGTGGCTGCATTGTGGAGCATTTGGCAAGAAAGAAATGGCAGGTTGCATGGTCATTTATTTAAACTTCCTCAAGATGCTGCTAGACAAATCTTATTTGAAGTTTTTGATATCTACAATGTTGCTATTCAAGATTTCTCTAAATAGTAATTTCGTTGATTTGTTTTGATTTGATTTTTTTATTTTAAGAATTGATCTTTCAATTCTTTTCTGGGGGTATGCCCTCTGTGCGCCTGTAAATATTCTTTTTTCTTTTTTATACAAACACTAATTATGAAAAAAATAAATAAATAAATAAATTATTTTATTTTATTTTTTAAAAAATTATCATAAATTCAATTCTTTGTCCCTTACATTACAAATATGAAGGGTGGAGATCACTTCACATAAGATGTGATCTCCACAAATAGGGGCCCACTTCACCTTATGATGTCTACCCTCCCCACTTTGTATAAATGGAATTTGATAATAACCATAAATTTTGCAACTAATTGAGAAACTTAACCTATAAAACAATGCAAAAAATAAATATTTAATAAACAACTTTTAATAGTCGCATTTAATTCAAACCAAAAGATCGGAAAACAACAAACCAAAAGACCGGAAAAGCACCAAACTGCCAAGACACCTTCTATAGCAAGCATAAAAAAACACAAGAAACCCAACCTTGTTTTGTTTTTTTTTTGTAACCTTAGAAAACCCAACCTTGTTAGCTTCGTTAATGGCGGATTTACCCATGGATGAATATTCCCCCACAACACTAAGCAAGTGTCATCTCCCCAAAAAAAAAAAAACATTCTCTTTCTCATTTTCTAATACATGCCCTCAGTGAAACTATCATCTTTGGAAATTAAACCAAAAGGGAGCAAGAAACAGAGAGATGGGACTCCATTCAGGTTCATCTCTCTCGCCGTCACCGGGAGAGACTGTTATGGTGGTGATGAACGTAAAGCGCAGCAAAGGAAGCCTGGACGCCCTTGACTGGGCCATCAAACACCTCGTCCAGCCCAGAGACAGAGTCATAGTTCTTGGATTGTTGTATGAGTTGGGGAAGAGGACGTGTTTCCCATTTGGCATTGACATCTCTAACATTTGTGAGTACTCCTTTATTATTATTATTATTATTAGTATTATTATTATTGCAAAATGAGGCTTCTTTGTACTTCACAATCTATAGTGTGTGTGTGTGTGTGTGTGTGTGTGTTTAATGCAATTCATTTGTGGGTGCCTGGACATACATCATTGTTGGTATTCTGCCTCAAATTCCTTTTCTTTTCTTTTTTTCTTTTCTTTTTTTTAAATCCTTAGGTTTAATTTAGGCTTCTTGTGTTTAGGTTTGTTTACCATATTCACTTTTGTAGTTCATGATTGTATTTTTTTGTATTTATATAATTCATTCAGGGGTGCTTGGACATATTTCATTGTTGGGTATTCTATCTCAATTTCCTATTTAGTTGAGTTCTATCTTATTGTTTTATTTTGTTTAGAAGATTTCTTGCTAGAAAAATCTTGTAATCTAAGAAATTGTTTTCCTTGTTGACTTGGGTTTAGGGCTTTTACTATATATAATTACTAAAGTTATGGATAGACATAATTCTTCAAGCTATGGGTTGAGATTTACGAGAGTGAAAGAGACGTAGACTCATAAGTCATAAGAACACACATATTTACGTGGTTCATTCAAAATTAGGATTATGTTTATGGAGTTATCGAGATTCTACTTTGACGAAGATCAAAACAAAATTACACAGTTCAGAATCAATAACCACTATAGCCACTATACCCCTATAGAATTAGAGCTACATAACAATCGTAAAAATACCTAAATACCCCCAAAGAATTCAGGGTAAGGTGTATTTATTACAACAATCATTGGATTAGTCCATATGCTGTAAATCAAATCTAGTGGAGTTCATTTTTTTTTTGCTAGCTTGGGAATTATACCTTTTTGCCATTCTTTAATGGTTTCAGACATCAATTCCTTACAATATTTTTTCAGCCAATTGTGACAATGGATCCATTTACCATATGCAATTTTACCTTCATTCCTCATGCTATAGTCAACACAAATTAGAGATTAATGGCAATTGAAAATTACATTTATGAACAAAACTTAATTTTCAGTTACATATTTAGACTCATTCATATGTCATATTCATGATTTTCATGCAATATCTGATACTGTCTTTCTGATGGTCCATCAAAAATGATTTATTATTCTATATCCATATATATCTCTGAAGAGTGAAAACTCATTCTAAATGAGCTCATGATCTTCAGTATTTCAGAGACAATAGCCAATGAGTATATAGTACTGAATCGCTCCGGATAAATTATCAGGGGTAAAACTGGAGTTTGCAGGACAAGGAGAAATGAACCCCAGAGATCTTGAAGAGGAGATTGAGAGAAAGAAGGAAGAATACCAGTGTACTCTCGAACCATTCTATCGACGCTGCAAAAGGAATGAGGTTAGTAGCTAATCGATCAATATTAGTAAATTGGTGGTAGATATCTACAAAATTTCCCGGTGTGCAGGTGGAGTTGGAAATCAAACTTGCAGCAGGATATGATCCACGGAAACTTATTGTTGAAGAAGCACAAAATTTCAATCCTCGTTGGATCATTTTAGATAGGTTAGTACTCATTTCTATATTTGAGATGCCAAATGGAGTAGTATAGGTTTCTGTTAGCATATAATCTCTGCTAATATGCTAAGTCTTCCATAAATCGTGGATATCATATATACTAACAGTTTCATCTTGATGGATTTCACTTTTTCGTGACAATGGCAGCCACTTGAAGAGGGAAAAAATGTACATATATGGGCATGTAGCCTGCAATGTTGCAATAATGAAAGGGAAAGACTTTGCAACCTTAATGCCTTCAAAACTTCCGGTGCATGAGCTATGGTTGAGTGAGTGTAGAAGAAGTGTTGATGGAATTTCAGAGTACAGAAAAAGTGTCGATGGAGTTTCCATAGCCGATGAACACGAGAAACAAGATAAAAGTCTCACATCTTCTCAGGAAAATAAGTCATTCACACCATCACAATATCCACAAACTCCTCAAACTCCTTGTTGGTATCCACTCTCATGGAGAACTGGATTCCCTAGACCTTTCACCATTAGTGAAGTTGAAAGGATAACCAATGGCTTTGCTGATGAAGAAATTATTGCAGAGAAGAAGAGCAGGAAAATTTATGAAGGGATTTATCAAGAAACACCTGTTTTGGTCCTCTGTTTCGCCGGGAATGATGATCGCTTCTGGTCAGTACTCAAGGTCCTCTCCAGAGTTCGCCATCGCAATATTTTGAACCTTGTTGGATACTGCTGCACAAATGCTTCTAATATCTTGCTATGTGACTACCCTTGTGGCAAAAATCTTGATACAAAATTGCGAAGTAAGAAATTATCCTTTTTCTCTCATGTGTATCCTAACAGAGCCTTAATGTGTATCTATTCTATTATTTCAAGTTCATGTTCATAATGGTCATGAAAAAAGCTTTTTATGCTGACTGTCAAGTTACCTAATGCAACCTTGCTCCTTTATCCGGGCTTGGGACCGTTTGTGTAAAGATACAGAGGCAGAGTTATGTTCTTTTAAGTATAACCCAAAAATTCTCCTCACTTCCTTTGAAGGGATCTACTACTTCGCATAGCTAAGAATAACCTTAGTAGATGAAAATCCCATTGATAAAAATGATCTCAATCTGTATATCATGCCATGTTTGCATCATGAACTTTTATCTAATAAACTATGGCATTTCATTGAATAAACTACTACATTAAGTTCCGTTTGTTTCTACGTAAAATATATATGTTTGGCAATGGTTTAGGTCGAGGTCGAGGTTGAGATCGAGTCCATTGGGTGGGACATGTAAAATAACTTACCGAAAATTGATGAATAAGTTATTTTTGTTAACTTCAATTCCCTATTGATAACATGGTTTTAGAATTGATCTCGGCAAGTTTGCAGGTGATGAATCGGCTAAGAATCTATCATGGAAATCAAGGTGGCAAATCGCTCTAGATATAGGCGCAGCCCTGCGCTACCTCCATGAAGAGTGTGCCGATGGACCTATTGTAGACGTCTCACTTTGTTCCAACTCTGTGGTATTTTCTCACAGTTCCTCTGCCTTGGTAAGTTCAATATTTTGTTCAGGGACAATTTGGAACCAAAAAACTTGGTTGAATTTTTGTCTGGCTAGTACAAAATGATAACACTATGCTTGTATGTAGTCTGTGTTGAGGCTGCTCAAATTTCCCACTTCTCCAAAAAGAATAAAAATAAATAAATAAAAACCTTACCATTTGCTTATACTACATTTGAGATTAAAACTAAATTTCGTATTTGATTGTATTCAAGCTTTGCATCTCAACCTCAGCTAGATGTCTTATGGATGGTGTCCCTTGGAATGGAGAATCACCAGCTCGGTAAGAAACCCTAGTGAATCTGTTTTCATTCATATTTCAAAAGCATGTCTAACATAATTTTACTTAGGCATATTCAGAACTCCTAAAAATTTTCCTTCATGGCTGTATATAGGCTATCGAATTTTGAGGAAGATGAGCGACTCTCTGGTGATATACGCGCTTATGGTATAGTTCTCACAGAGCTCATAACCGGAAAAAGCAATGAACGCTTTCAGTCCGAAAACGGGAATCAATCCTTCATCGATTGGGTAAGATTTCTACACCACCATCAGAAATAATATCGAAGAAAGCATCAATAAACTTGCACTAGTAGTACCAAACTTTTGCAAGTATGTTAAGTTGTTTCCAAACATGACCATATCCATATGTGACTTGAGTCGATGCATCTTAGGGGCTTGTGTGTTTAAAGTTTTCCAGAAGAGAAATGAGTTGTTTCTGATTTAACAAACTCATGAAACTTCCTTTCCGCACCGAGTCGTCTTCCAGGCACTTCTACGTTTGGTGTGCAGGAATGGAATGAAATGGAATGAAATGTTCATTCCAACCATTCAATTGTTTGATGTGCTGGAATAGAATGGAACGCCCATTCCAATTGAATGAAAATCCATTACAGGGAATGAAAATTCATTCCATTAGTAAACCTATGGAATAGCCATTCCATTCCATAGTAAGATAAAATATTTTTGTAATATTCTTAATAAGTCCTTAATCACATTCCAATAATGCAAAAATATTTCGCATTCACCAAAAGTCTTTCACATTCCATTTTTCATGTTTATCGACTTCTTTATTAGACGTGGTAAAGGTCTTTCATCTTCCTTCTCTTTTGAATATACTCAGAGCTGTCATTGACAAAAAAGTTACAGGACTTTCAACCAAATTACAAGTATTAATTTCTTTATTTATTTATTTTTGATAAGTATGTATCAAATCTCTTTTATCTTCTGAGTATTTCACTTTTTTATTTTTATTTTTTTATGTTTTTTGTATCTTTGCGTTGAAACATTTGTGTAATCATATGAAACCAAAAGTGGACTAGCTTGACTTTTGGACACTTAGTCAAGTTCATCGTTAGATGATTGGAGAACCTTACTTGATTAGAATTTTATCAAAACTAAAATTTTCAAGAAATCTACAATAAAAAAAAATTTAAAAAAAATTAAAAAAAAATTACACAAGTACTTGGAAATATTACCAGGTTTTTTTGTTGGGTTGATGATTTATTTATTTCCTTAACTTTATTTGAGTTTATGGTGCACGATATTTTATATATTATTAAGATTGATATTTCATTATATATATATGTATATTATTTTTTAGCCTTTAAATCAATTTCTTAGATTAAATATTCAATCATGGTGAGTTGGTTTAGTTATAATTTTTTTATTTTTCTTTCCTCCAATGAAAAGGGCATTTTTTAGAAAAGGCATTCCCTTTCAGATTTAATGATATTCAACCAAACAATAAAATGGTAATAATCATTCCATTCCATAATGATTCACCGTGTCACACCAAACATTAGAATAGTAATACTCATTCCATTCCATTCTCATTCTCATTTCATTCCAAATTTCATTTCATTCCATTCATGCACACCAAACGTATTCCATCTTCGATTTGCAGGCTGCAGCTATTTCAAGGGAGCAAAGATTTGATTACTCAACTACATGTTATTTTATTTAAATTTGAGGGTGCAAAATGAAAAATGATGCACTTTTTATCGAGTTGTAGAAAAAGAGAGAAGTTTGGAGAAAAATGGAAGTTTTTGAAAACGTATATAAAGAGAGAAATTTTTAGATATTAGTATGTGAAAGTTTCTTACTCCTAAAATCTAAAAGATTCAGAAAAGGTTGCTTATATAAAATACTAAAAAAAAGAGGGTGTGTGTTCTGTAAAATTCTAAAAAGAGAGGAAGGGGGTAGAAAATATAGCTAGAACAAGGCAACTGAAGTAGATTATAAATAGCCAAAGAGTTGTCTACTCCCAATAGTTTCAACAGGTTCAATCTGGGAAGAATTAACTACTTTAAAAAAAAAATTCTTTTAATAATCGTACTTCTCACAGTAGTAGCAATTTGCATATTTACCATGTATTTTGTGCAAGAGGAAGAATCTGTTTATTGGCCCATTTGCCTTCATTGATTCAATGTTTATCCGTGATCCTTCTGTTTATATACTATGAATCAAGACAATACTAAATTTTATTATTTAAGATCTATTTAGAGTACTCCATTATTTATACAGAATTGTTTAATAAAATTTAAAATTAAAGATAACAAAAATTTTGTTCAATATTCAATGATAAATGAATTCAGTCACTTAAAATTCTATCATATTTAAGTTTTTTGCAAGGTAATATATATATATATATATATATATATATATATACACTATAAAAGAGTGTGTATCCTATTTTGAATTTTTATCCAATTTTTGATTAATTTAAAAAAGAGTTTTGTGTAATCCATTAATTGATGGAACTTTTGCTCTGAACATAGGCATTGCCACTGCTGCAAAGTGGTTCCCTGAACCTGTTGATGGATCCAAGGTTGACAGATGCTGCTTCTCCTTCTTATGTAGTCCATCATATGGCACGCGCCGCGTTACTGTGTCTGAAGAATGAATCAGGTCATATGGTCTCCATGAGTGAGGTATCATCTCTCTTTGTTTTCATATCTCCTAATACATGCTTTCGAAATACGAGTAAGAGTCTCCACCATTAAAAACTCTGAAAACAGTTTTTAAGAATTTTAAAAATGGAAGACAGTTTCAGGCTCTGCTTGGTTTGTAGTTACGAGAATAGTTTTCTATTTTCAATTTTCTGAAATTAGAAAACTGATTGATTTAATTTTTTGAAAATTATTTTATTAAAATTCAATTGTATGCTTAGTTTGTAATTATGAGAACAATTTTCTATTTTCAAAAAATAGAAATTTGTACAAAAAATTTTACTTGGTTCAGTTTTCTGAAAATTGTTTTATGAAAACTGAGTTATAAAAATGCCTGAATTGTCTTTTATAGTTTTCTGTTTCTCTGAATTCTTGAGAATTGTTTTCAGAATTACAAATAAGCAGTCCAAAAAATGTTGTTCTCTAAAAATTGAGTCTTCTTTTATTTGTGTTATAAGAGAAGTAATTGGAAAACTATCAACCAAAATTTTTCAAACCATACAAAAACCATAGTGATAAAATTAGAGAAAGTAGGCTTAGGTGGTATTGTCACGTAAAACGTAGAGGGGAGATGCACCAGTTACGGGGAAGGGTTGTTTGCCTAGAAGGTAAGCAACAAAAAGCCGGCCAAAACTTACATGAAATAAAATAATTAAAAATAATTTTATAAAACTAAATCTTGTAAGAGGCATGATTTATAACAAGAAAAAAAATAAAATAAAATAAAATAAGATAATTCATGTGACCCGACTCTATTGATGTTATTGTTTGACTCTCGGACCTTTTAGTTGGGCTTGTGGTGTCTAATTCAAAAGATTAACTTATTAGGTGGAGTTACCCTTGCCCTATACATGTCCCAGATTTCCTTGTTCACTAATTGATGTGGGACTCGTTCAACCACCCAACAATCCCCCTTTGAACGAGACTCATCCCGGTGGATAGAATGTCAATTAACCCTTGAACGGGGCTCTCCCGCTGGCTAAGGGATCTTGAGTCCACATGCAACCCTTTGGGACCCGACTCTGATACCGGTTGTATAAATTCCATAAAATGGAAAAGATTTATCTCCTCATTTTTTTTGGCTGTTTCATTTGAATCTACTTTTGTTGCAGTAAACTGATGCTAAGTAAACTGTTGCAGGTATTGGCTGTGGTTCAAGGAGATCAAATTACAGTAACAAAGCATTTGAATTACTTGAATTGAATTCATGGAGTGTCCTTGTAATATGCAGTAAAGAGAAAAACAAAAAGAAAGAAAGAAAGAAAATGGCTCCTTGAGGTTTGGTGCATATAAATTTGTAAGAGAACAGTTATATATAACTGTGTAATTTAGGCCATAATGTGCATCAAATGTTGTAACTACTACTAAAATAAATAAGGGTGAGCAAATAATCGGTCAATCCGGTCCAAACCAATCTCATCCATGTAGTTCGGTTTGGTTTTCAGATCTCATGGTTCGGTGCTGGTTTAGAAAAATAGTTATCTGCTATTCACGGTTCGGTTAATGGATTAGGCCCTGAAAAAACCGATCCGATCCAATCCGTTAACCGAACCGATCCGTTACCTTAATTATATATACTGCTATTTAAGTGTTTTGTTTTGTTCTATTTGGATAGTTTATATTTGGTACTGTAATATTATTTTCATTTTTGGATGATTTACAACTTTATTTTGTTATTAGGTAATTTAAGTTTGTGATGATATATATTAAAAAGTTAGTTACAAGTTTTTAATTACTAATTTGAGATTTTAATGGGCATAAAGTATAATCATATTGGGATATTTAAAAAGCCTAATCCGTAAAAACCAATCCAATCCGATCCGATCCGTTATTTCACGGATCGGTTCGGTTAAGATTGAAGGTCCCCAAGGATCAGTTCGGTTTCAAATTTCACCAATCCGTGGGGACCGGATTGGTTTGAACTTTACCCTCAAACCGAACCGAACCGATCCGTTATTTCACAGATTGGTTTGGTTCGAATTGAAGGTTCCCACAAATCGATTCAGTTTCAATTTTCACCAATCCGTGGGGACCGGATTAGTTTGAACTTTACCCCTAAACCAAACTGATTCGTGATCAGTCCTAAAAATAAAAATAAAAACATTCAAAGGTTATTATACTAATTATAGTATTAATGCCTATGGCATGAGGTATTATTGCCTTACAAGTTATAAATTAAACTCTTGCAAAGTCTGCATGTTGTTTAATTTACAACCAAGGCGTGTGTGTGTGTGTTTTTTTTAACCACCAAGCATGTGTTTCTCTATTACGTACCTATTCTTTAAATTCTTAAGATATATACCTTATCCAGAAATCATGTTTTTTTTTTATGTGAATGGTAAAGTAATCACACACCTTTTTGCACACATCGGGACTCAACTCGTTCTCCTCTTCTTGAAGAAGTGAAATTTCAAGTTTCATTGTAAGTAATTTTCAACTAAGTCACATAATTCGCTCACGGGTCTCGATCTCATACTCCGCTCATGAATCGACAAATTGGGAGCGAATTCGCACAAAATTCACGAACTCAATTCTATAATTCGTTTGAGTTCGATTGAATTTGCCAATTGCCTTTATGCGGGTGTTGTTTGGCTCAAATAATGACTAAAAAAGGGTATGTGGGGCTTTGGCTCAAATAATGACTAAAAAAGAGTAGTTAGTGCGGAGGAATTGAACTCGAAACCTTTTGAAAAGGACCAATAGAAACTTCGACCGGGATGTTAGATGTACAATGAACACAATTAAAAATTATAACTACAATTTTGTAATTTAATTAATAAATTGTAAATGTCTCATTGCTTTTAAATGTAATAAATGAAAAAATTAATAAAAAATAGTATTTAATAAATTAAGATGATAATGCAAAATCAGCACACACTCCTGCTCTCAAAAATTTTTAAATCTGGCTATTTCACGCTATCACTTCTTCTTTATGTGACTTAAGTTGTGGGTGTAATTTATTATTATGCGTCATTGTAACTGGTTTGAGCATATTTTCTTTGAAAATTAAGACCATTATGGTCTATAATGTAATATTTTTAATGATAGCACCATGATATAAATTCAAAAATAAAAATTATCTCCAAAAGATCGCCAAATATGACATGGACTCATCTTCTTTTTTTTTTCCTTAATACTCACACACTCATAAATGCCTCCACTGAGACTTGAACCCTAACCTTCTTTTTGAAAAGGAAGGGCTTGATACCATTGGGCCACTCTTATATGTTACAAACATAGCATACAAAATGGTTATCAAATTCTTCCACACAAATTGGACAAACATGAATGAAATTATATGATATTAAAATACAAAAAACCAAATCAACTAAAACTAATTACAACCCATTATCAGTCAAGTATACACTATACAGGGACTCAATGCCAAATACTAAAACAGTTACTACTAGATCCAAAAAAAAAATTAAGATAGATAGCCAAAAAAAAGTTGTTCGCATCAAACGATGAATTAAAGATATAAAAGAAAAGCATGACAAATAGTGTTTTAAAGAATTTTTATGCCTAAACTGTAAAAATGACTAACAGGTTTCGTATTTAACTAATAAAATACGAATTTTTATGCCTAAACTATATTGTGGTTTCAGAGTGCTTCAATGCATAATTACATTCAGTCATTAATATTTCCATAGATTAAACAACCACTTAGTGGACAAAGAGACTCGGTAACTAAAAATGACATTTAATATGTACAAACATACATCAAAATCTTGTCTTCATCACTTTTAAAACACTTCCTATGTCACATAATTCATTATTATTATTGTGTAATTTCATTTTCGTTTCAACATATCAGCAATATGGTATGCATACTACTGGAGAACGGAGAAGACCTGTAGACCACCATCTCGGGACACACCTTCTGAAGAGCTTCCTAAATCCGGGACAACCATTGCAACTAGGACGTAAAAAATTTCTACCTGCATGTAATAAAAAAAGGTTATCTTTGATAACTAATAGTGAGCAAATAAATACAGTATATGCTTTCAAGAACAAGAAAAGGGGAAAAAAGGTAAACGATAAACAAAGGAGGAAGAGAAACTAAAACAGAACGAAAAAATAAAGAAAATTAACGAGCATAGACCATTATGGTGAGTAATGTGACTCCTATATATTACAACCCAAAACTTTAAACCTAAGGAATAAATATAAGGATTATTTTCAAACTCTCTAGAATCAAAAACTTCGAGGGAATTGCATCATGATTGAATGATGCAGGTAATTGAATCTTCGCCCATTATCAATTAGGGAAATGAAAGTGGTTTGAATCTGCTTCATGAATCAATACTCTATAGAGAATCTCTCTGGGGCCCACTGAATTTCCATTGTCGATAAGCAAGTTCGCTTATTTGTTAAAGACGCACAGATATTTAACTACAACTCTGCAGAAAATGCAAGATGAGCAATAATTCCCATGTTATAAAATGGCTCAATGGTTATTGCAGAAATTATAAACATCATATTATGTTAGCCTTTTCTAAAGGCCAAGTGGTAAAGAAGACTCGTTTGAAGCTAAAGTCCCACTTTTTTGGGATTGTAGATTCGTATATGTAATTTCCAGTGTTGATCAATCGATTGCAGAAGGTGACTGCTAATGAATTTCCACCGTCTAATTCCATTTTGTACTATTATGCATTTCCTTAAACAAGGCTGGACAATGTCACTAAATCAGATGTTAAAGAATCAGGGCAAATGCGTTCAACAGCATATCTCCGGCTTCATGTCAGTCAGAAACTGAGTTTTGGATTAAAATCCTTCTATGTTAAGTTAGAAGCCTGAATAACGATGCTTCAAGCAAGGGGTTCATATACAAGAAACTCGTAACAATGAAGAAAGAGGTTCTCACATCAACATATATGTCAAATAGACTTCTCAAAAATAAATTCAAGTACCAAAATCAACTGATAATCCTCATCTTTTCAGGATGGCAGTAAGCGATTGAGATGATGTAAATAAATGGGAATCTAGTGCTGCAGAAACTATATATTTGATAAAGAAAACTTTTTAACCACCGTTGAATTTGAAATTAGACAAAATCTCGGTGATTCCAAACTTGGTTGTCAGAGAAGAATACCCTAACTTCTTCAAAAACGCAGCACCTCTGTATCCAACATAAAAAAGACATCAAGTATTGCCACAGCAGGGTACCAGGGAGGGAGGACTAGAGGCAGATCTAACCTCTAATATTTCACAAAGTGGCTGCTCTGAGGCTCAAACTCGAGCCAGTGAGTGTTTTAATGCTAAACCAATCAATGGCAAAACAAACATGAATTTGAAAGGGAAAAAAAAAAGTCTCAACCTTCTACCACAGAAAAAGAGTACGGAGGGAAGTACTTAATATTGAATTTTAAGACCTTGAATGCATATCATAAACACTTCTGTGAGTGAGAGAGAGAGAGAGAGGGAGCATGTTTGATGGCTAAAATCAATGCGAAATAGAACTCGGAATCTCATGATAGTGCAGGCCACGACTGATCTAATGATAGGCTTAGGCTAAGGAGAGATGACATTTTTTTTAAAGAGTATAAGAAAGGTTGTATGGCTCATGAATCAAAAGGGTATAGAATTGGCCTGGTTTAGAAAGTCAGGGTTGTTGGCTCTAAAGACAATTAACTGCTAAAAATAGTAGACAGCAACTATTTCACGGTTTTAAGTGTTAAATTAAAGGTCAAAAAGGAAGGGAAAGGATGGGGTTGATTTGGATAGGTGCAGAAAAGTTTTGGGAATGAGATAGGGCTGTTTGGGGACTATGAGCAGTAACTAAGCATTATACTGCAGTTTGACTTGTGTTTTAAGTTGCTACAATTTGATGTTTAATGAAGAAAAAGATTAGGCTTCTTAAATTAGAAATGGAAAAGAGTGAATACTGAAAACTCATTGCTCATTGCAGGATAATAAAAGCTAGAAACTAATGGAAAGAAGATACAAGTTAGCAAACTAATGCAAAGAAGAAGAATCTAGGAAGCTCACCGAGAATTCCTTAAGACACAACCCCCAAGGTTAAGTTGAATCATAAATCATAGAATCTTAAATTCTCACATTTTTAATTCAACTAAAGTACAGAAATAACAGACATTACAGCTTACTATAGTTTTAAAAAGGAATTTTGACCAATAACTCTATTCTGGACCTACTAAAGACAGCAATAAAGACCCCATTAAGACTATTCTGGACCTACTAGAAAAGCCAATTTACAGCATATAACCAACAATAAACTTAAAGTAAGACCTCATTTAACCTAACTTAATTACACAAGGTGTCAAGCATGCTCCATGTGAGATTATAGATTTTCCATTTTCTTGTTATCATGCTTCACATCAATCATGGCTATCAAGTATCAACATTTATGTTGTTGATGAAATCTCAACTTTGATATTATGTTAAACTTAATAAATTCTTAACTAGGTAGCATGTACTTTTAACTTTATGAGCCATAAGGATCTTTATTGTCCTCCGAAAATTCAAAATCAGAAACACCATTTAAAAAAATAACTAAGACCCATGTAAAAAATAGATGTGAAGCCAATAATAAAAAAAACCACAAATATATACATAATCATATTCATTGCCGAATTAATAACACTGACGCAATCACCTTTGACACAAAAATGAATCAAAATTTCAAGTTTTACATTTATAAACCAGCTTAGAAGGGCAAGCTCAGTGCAAGTGATTTTTCCCAATCACTTAATTTGGAGCAAAGATTGAAATGTAACCAATATGAACTTTACAAGTACCTCTAGTTTACAACAACGCTCAGATTCAAAAGAACAGATAGTAAAATTCACTTTTGTAAAACCAACAGGAGCAGTACTTAAGTATGACAAGTAACTAAACAAGCAAAATAGAATAGGTGACTTTCACTAAATCAAAGGTATTGTTAACAAGTGGTATAGTTTTGATCTCATGTCTGAAGTGGGTACAATAATGCTAAAACCTTCACCATATCCTAAATGGATCTGAAGTTCTTAATGGCAACAAAGACCCCTCCACAACACTTTAAAAAGTTCAGAATTCAACTCCAGTAAGCTGTGCACTGCTACACTTGCACACATGCATTGGTACACTACTGGATTATTTATGATTGCATTCCAAAACTATCTTCACCGATACAGTATGGTACTTGCACCGGTACACTTTTGTTCTGTTGCCAAAATTAGAGTTTCTATTTCCCAGAACGCATGGTCACGATTTTAAAACTTCAAAAAAAATCCAACTTAAAATTTCAATGTCTTCTGTGAGGTGGAAAATGTTCTGATTCAGATGTATGGAGACACGTATGCATATACACTCATATTAGGGTTTTCACATTGCATACAAAGTTCATTGGTTTTGTGGGTTCTTATGAGTTTTGCATGCAGACTGTTCATAGATTAGAGTGACTGTTCGTAGATTGTGTTTCTATTGATCATTTGAGAGTGCTCATCAGATCTACATCGAACAACAATTAAAAGCAGCCAATATACATACATGTCTCCATCCTTAGTGGAAACTGGTTAGCAACATCTGTGAAGGAAATTGCATTGTGTTGACCTGGAAAAATGGGATCAATGGCACTGACTAGTAACCAATGGCAAGCCTGAGATGTCTGCAGCAACTAAGTCTAGTGAAGGGCCAGGTGTCAGTCTAGGTTAGGGTACGGTTGTTCCCCCCCTTCCCCTCCCCCAAACAAAAGATCTGTGTTCCATATGAGAATACAACTGGAATTTCCGTATGTGCCACTCTGAATATTAGCTTCAGAAATGACATTCTTCCCGTCATATGAACCCAAACAGTAGTAAGTAGCATAGACACAGACATGATACCACACGACGCATTAAATACTAAAAAGGTAAGATATGTATATGACATGGACACGGCTATATATAAATATAAATTCTTATTTATATACATCTATTGAGTTTGACTATTATAAAACTTAAATTCATTTTTAATTGTTGCACTAAGAGTTTCTCCGACGTAATTTAGAATACAAAGCTATGCCATTATTGGAATGATTGTAATATCATATATGCTACTTCCACTACCTTGTCATTACAATAATGTTTTTATTCTATATGAAAAGGTACCATTATGTGCTTCACTTGTGACCATGTGCATAATGCCAATTTTTCTTAAAGAAAAATTTAGATAATTTGAAATATGTTAATATAATTCTAAGATCATCGAACATGGCTACTCTAGAAGTCTTTGTGTCAGGGAACTGTCGACCAGGTGTCTGGGACTAAGAAGCATGAACAATTCTACAAAGGTGGTGTGTCCGTGTCAGACATCGACACTTCATAAACACTCCTGGGCATGTGCCCGATAGTTCATGGACATGTTCGTAATTTAAAAGTAATTTTTATAGTTTCAAACACTTGGCAGACACACATTTGGTCAACACATTCCGGACACTTGACCAACACATTCAACACTCTTGTCTTATATAAAACAAGCACATGACAGTCCTAGAAACAATTATACGAACCAACATCAAAATGTCCAACCTCTTTTCCTTTAAAATTTTGATATTAAACACACGTCACAATGTGTAATAAACAAAAACATAAATATATATTTTTTGATAAGTAAGATTTCATTAAAGACGTTCAAAAGGGGAGCGCTCCTAAGAACAACAAAAGACGCCCTAGGCACCAGTATAATTTCAAGCTATCCACAAACTCCAAAAGAAGCTTCAAAGACTTACAATTAGCCCCGTTAACCCAAAAAACAAAGAAGACAGCATGTTGTATATAAAGTGTTGGACATGTGTTCAAAGAGTGTCTATGAGGTGTCGGTGTTAGACACACAGATATGACACGGATACAACTCCATACAAGTGTTAGTGCTTCCAAGAGTAGTAGTTATCGATGCCTCCTATAAGTCTCACTAATTAATTTCTTAGTTTTCATTCTTGCCCGATTATGCCATCGTTTCTTCAAATGAAAACATAATATGTCAATCATTTTAAATACTTGAGGACCAGCTTTTGCTATTCAATTAGATACCAGAATGTGTGTGGTAATAGGAAAGTAGATAGCCTCAAAGATGTCTTTTTCATGATCAGTTCAATTTAATTCTACTCTGGAAAGAGGAAGAAATTTAGAGCTTTTGCTGTATTTGCTTTCTTTTGTTGGTGCGTATAGTTGTGCACTAATAAAGATTTATAGTGTATATACATATATGAATTTCACAAATCAAAACTATAAACAGCCTTCTTTGTCAGTGAGCTTGAAAGCTTTACAACATAATACTCCACTAAACACTATAGACCTCAACTGGTCCAGCAATCAGGACATCCGAATATCCTCTCTTACTTTATGACGAAGCTAAATAAATAATAATGGCCTCACACGTTGGTATTTTGTGAGGCTGAGGTGTCCCAGATGAGGTACCTGAGATCGGTGCTGATTTGTTTTCAGGCTTGAAAGTGAATGTAGGGAAGAGTGCCTTGATTCCAGTGGGGGCATAATATTGGTGAGTTAGCTTCTGTGCTTGGATGTGAAATTAGTAACTTTCCGATTACATACTTGGGGCTACCTTTGGGAGTTTCTTCGAGGACTCTGGGTGTTTGGGATCCGGTGGTTGAGGGGGTTCAGAGGAGACTTGCAGGGTGGAAGAAGCAGTATTTATCAAAAGGTGGGAAGGTTACTCTTCTGAAAAGCACGTTATCAAGTCTCCCTACTTATTTTTTATCCCTATTCCAGATTCCATCTGTGGTTGCTAGTTCGATTGAGAGGCTTCAAAGGAATTTTCTAAGGGGTGGATTACAAGGAGAATTTAAGTATCATCTTGTTCGTTGGGTGTAGGTTTGTAGGCCGATTCAGGCTGGAGGTCTTGGGATAAGGAGTTGGTGCCATTTAACAGGGCTCTTCTTGGTAAGTGGTTGTGGAGATTTGGAGTGGAACGTCATAGGTTGTGGAGGAGGGTTAAGTATCATCTTGTTCGTTGGGAGTAGGTTTGTAGGCCGATTCAAGCCAGAGGTCTAGGGATAAGGAGGTTGGTGCCATTTAACAGGGCTCTTCTTGGCAAGTGGTCGTGGAGATTTGGAGTGGAACATCATAGGTTGTGGAGGAGGGTTATTTTGTGCCGGTTTGGGGAAGAAACGGGGAGGTGGTGCTCGTGTTTGGTAAGGATTCCTGCTGGGGTCGGAGTTTGGAAATCCATTAGGAAAGAATGGAATGAGTTCTCCAAACACATCAGATTCAGAGTTCAGGATGGCAGGGATGTGAGGTTTTAGGAGGACCTTTGGTGTGGTGATTGTACCCTTACTTGTTCATTTCCCATGTTGTTTAGGATTGCTGATTGCTGTTGATAGGCATGTCTCGGTTACTGATTGCTACCGGCTTGATAGCGGGAGGTTGACTTGGGATGTGCGGTTTGTGCGAGCGTTCTAGGATTGGGAGTTGGACGATATTTGCGGGTTGTTAGATCGTTTATATCGGCTTGAGATCCTTGGCGGAGATCGAGATTCGTTTGTTTGGGTGCCTGATTCTCAGGGAATGTTTGAAGTGAGATCTTTTTTCCGATGCCTCTTAGATACTACAGGGATTACGTTTCCGTGGAAAACTATGTGGAGATCTAAGGTGCCGCTCAAAGTGGCATTTTTTACTTGGACAGTGGTGTCGGGCAAGATCTTGATGCTTGATAATTTGAGGAGGCGAAGACAAATCACAGTTAACTGGTGTTGTATGTGTAAGTGCAATGGGGAATCGGTGGATCATCTTCTTATGCATTGTCCGGTGGCCTTGGATTGTTGGTGTCTTTTGCTAGGAATGTTTTCGTGGGTTATGCCTCGATCTACGAGAGGAGGGTGCTATATGGGAGGCCATGCTCGTGGGTTTTGGAAGATGGCGCCCTTGTGTTTATGGTGGTGTTTGTGGAGGGAGCGGAATAATAGATCCTTTGAAGGAAAGGAATCCTCGATTGTTGTTCTTAAATCAACTTTTATTACATCTTTATGTTTTTGGGGTTCGGGTAGGTTTGTTCCTCCCCGGAGGAGATGATTGATTTTATTTCTTCTTTGGGACCATAGGATCCCTTTGTTGTCATTGGGACACGTTCACCTTTTGAACGTATTTTGAATAAATTTGCTTGCTTATCAAAAAATAATAATAATGGCCTCAAAGATGTCTTTTTCATGATCAGTTAAATGTAATTCTACTCTGGAAAGAGGAAGAAATTTAGAGCTTTTGCTGTATTTGTTTTCTTTTGTTGGTGAATATAGTTGTGCACTAATAAAGATTTATAGCGTATATATACATATATGAATTTCACAAATCACAACCATAAACAGTCTTCTTTGTCAGTGAGCTTGAAAGCTTTACAACATAATACTCCACTAAACACTATAGACCTCAACTGGTCAGGGCAATCAGGACATCCGAATATCCTCTCTTACTTTATCACGAAGCTAATTAAATAATAATGGCATCAACTTACCAAAGAACCCCCTAACTACGGACAGAAATTTTATAGAGTACCACAAAGACTGCCTTGTGCCATCACTGAATCCAAACAAACAACGATCTTTGATTGATCAGTGCTCATAAACTCAATTTCACATAACTTGTTCAGGTTCAACTCTGAGAAGTTCAATCACTTCAACTCTTTCTCGTTAGCGTATTTCCTCAAGAAAGGGAAAAAGTTGTGTGCTCCAGTAATAATGCAATGAAAGGATAGAAACATGCTAAACTCCAAGGATGCTGTGGATAATCATGATTCATACATAGCAGATACATATAATATCATAATTATATAAAAATATCGCAGAAAACATAGATAAAGACCTAGTTTTGGTACTATCTTTGAGCTGGTATTATTTTTACCCGCTGATAGATATTTTGTACCTTAAACCATCAGAAGTGCTTTAGATTCTGCAGGAATGCTCCTGAAATAGCCATAATTGTGGGCAAGAGCTCTGTTACATGCCACCGGTTGCCCAAGAGAAAATCACGACCAAATGCTGAAATAAATTCTGGTGGAATCTGATCCGTAGATTTCTGAAAGTGTGCAAATGTCAAAAACTGATTCATTGATGCATTCCACAACGAATTTCAATAGTACATAGCACTGTACCCAAAAATAAAGATTGTACATAGGAATGCCATTGAGTTGTTTCTGTTAAGGTTAGTATAGACCAAACAGAATCCGAGCCCATAAAATGAGTATACATTTAAGCACAAATAAAGAAAAGATAATGACATGGTTAAAATGGCAATGTTGCACCCAATCAGCATCAAATTGTTTGTCTATATTCTGAATAGGCTACATAAGTTTTACCTGGAATCTTTCCATTTTTAACTTCATCTATTCTTCATCTCACGAGGTCTTAATGTTTTCGACACCATATGCTGTTTGGACAATATCTCTGCAACCACTTGGCGCCCAAATAAGTGTGAATTCTTGAGGATTAAGTTTCTTGTAGAGGAATCAACAACATAGCCTTGACCTGGCATCCACTGTAGCAACTGGAGAAGCAGTTCCTTCTTTTCAGGTTGCTCAATATAACGTGATATAGCCATATGAAATAAACCCTGAAGTAGAAATGCAATGGAAAAGGTTAAATCTATCTTCCAGAATGCAAAGCTCCATCATTGCATTCATTTAGCCAGATTGCCAAAGCTGCAGTGATGAGGGTGGATAAGCATGATTGACCAACAACATTGATTTCACACTTTCATTCCAATCAACCTAATTTACAAAAGTAGGGAAAGCAACGTATTCCAGAAACAGCTTCAGAAGGTTTGTCAAGTGCTGCAACTTGGGGCTGAAGAGACCCTTGGGTGGCTTAGGCTAGTTAGCTAGTGTTTCAGTAGCTTGTGGACTTGGAGATGATACTTCATTCAGTGTTTAAATGGAATGCCTTTTGCAGTTCTGGTTGTTTATATATAAGAAGAAATATAATATAGAAGAGGAGAAGAGAAGAGAAATGTGTAAACGCTTGAATGAGATAAATCACTCATTCACAACTCTAGTATTTATAAGTAAATAAAATAAAATAAAATAAAATAAAAAGACAACATGCTAATACTACAAGAAAGGAAATTAAATGCATATTTTATGGCTTGACATATGTGTAATTAAAGTCAAACTCCATGATTTGTGGCTATAAAATCTCTGCTAATAAATAATTACGGGGAAAAAAAATCACTGCTAATATGGTAAGTCATCTCCATGATTTGTGGCTATCAAACCTCTGCTAACAATATATATATATATATATCTTTAAAAAAAAAAAATTATTTTCTCTTCATTTTTATGGTTTTGGTTCTGATGAGTTGTGTATTTTGTTTTTTGGATCGCATGATGACAGAATCCGTCAGACATGTTCAAAGGGCCAAGATTAGAATAATTTGATGACATTGGACCTTTTTACTTGTCATATCTCATCCTTTTAAACTTTGAAAAACATGTTGCAGAGATTATCCAAACTAATTGGCACCAAAGTCATCGTGTCATGATGCTTTTGGCATTTATCTGCCATTTGGAATGGTTATTCAAATATAATTTCTGGTTACTTTTATTGTATCAACTTCTTTACCTATTGATGCCTTGTCAAAAGTTCTAAGTGCTGCTTTTAATGTTGCTAAAGATGATGATTATTGATACACATCAAATCTTATTTCTCGTGTTTGCTATATTGATAATATGTAAAAGAGAAAAAGGACAAAAAACTCAAACCCATCTCTATCTTTAAGATTTAGAGGTGCCAATAAATATAGGAAATTATCATTTATTGGTTGAGTTGAGAAAATAGTGGAAATCTGAATTATCCAGGGGATGTAGACTTTTAAAGCTAACCCATGTAAGATCTTATGTGCTCTCTTTCTTCTTTACTTCATATTTTATTCAAAATTTATCGGGGAACGAGACCAAGTTCATAGCACCTTGCCCTGAACAGCAATTCTGCTAGTTTTATTTTATCAATTACTTCTCCATCTATTTACCAGGGGAAAAAAATTTACTTTCTATTTATTTCATGATCACCTTCACTTTTCTTTCAAGTAGTATTCTTTTAGATCTTTTCTTTCTTAGAAAAAAAAATAAATATAGAGAGAGTGAGATTGTCTCCATTAAATTTTGTTAATTGTTGTTTCTTTTCATAGAATTGTCATTATTCTGTGTCACAAAGGACATTTGTGGATTCTTAGACCACATTTTATGACCACGACTGTTGGATCACATTCTTGATTCTTACATACTTTTGTTAGTTGATGCTAGAGAGATAGTTTACTTGGCAACCATTTAATTGTCAACAAATTCAGGTCTCAACTTTTGCTTAAAGATGATCATGAAGATTCATTTGCAGGCTTATGACAGAAGCTGATTTAGTTATTCAATATTTTGTATTTAAAAAACAATAATTAATAATAATAATAGAAAAAGTCAATATTACAAGCAAGACAGGGCATTTGACTGTGGCTGATCTTGATGGAGGACTTTATGGATGATGATTCACACCAAATCTATCTACAGAATTCTCTTATATTGAAGATATGTAAAAGAGATGTAAAGATACAAAGTCAAACTTATCTCTATCTCTAAGATTCAGATGTGCCCATAAAGTGTTACCATTGTATTTTTATTTGTTTGAGTTGAGAAAATAGTAAAGATCTTGAGTTCTCCAATGGATGTAGGGTTTTAAAGCCAACACATGTAAATCTTATGCTGTCTTTGTATTCTTTGCTTTGTGTCTTATACTATTTCATCATATTTTGGTCAGCGGAACAAGAATTGTCAGCCAACCTTCCTCTTCCCCCTTCAGCCTCCTCAACAATGATTATATCCTCCTTTGTATCTCTTTCTACTTCTCTCCATCTCCAAAGCTTCTAAGGATGTATAAATGTCAAAGAGGAAAAAATAATGATCTGTTCCATATGGGGCATCTCATTATGATGCTAAAATCTCAAGTTACAGATACGAGACTCAAGATGCAATTTAATTAAATATATTAAAATCAATTTATTACCTGACCAATCTTGGAGCCAGAACTGTGTAGAGCCTTTATAACATCATTTATCAAGTTTATATTACCAGCCTTCATAAATGCAGTTGCAAACTTCTTTATAGCAGGCTGTGGGATCAACCCCGCATTGTCCTGAACAGGTAATTATTTTGAGAAAATAATAATAATCCTGAGGCAAAAAACTCATTTAAGATTTCACAAAACAATATATCATACCTTGACTACTACATATGCATCTTTGAGAAGTTGTCCACCAATTAGAATGTGCAGAATCTTCCCATGAAGATCCTTGCACATTGTTCTCTTGTTATACCTCAACATATTGTAGACAGAAAATGCTTCTGGATGGGCCCCAATTTTACCGAGGTGATCTATCAAGAAGGAACAAAGTTCCTGCAAGTAAAAACAATGTTGGAGCCTATGAAGCTACATTAACTATACCTCAACTAATTAGAAATCTGAACAGCTTCATAATCACACAAGATAAAAGCACTATTCCACAACTAGAGTTCATCCAAATTCTCGTGAAGATACTTCTATCCCTAAATAAGTGCCAGACATTTTTAGTGATGGACAATAAAAAATAAAATTCGGGGCCGTGTGACCAGACCAAAAGGAGAAGCCTGCTTTTCTATACTTGCTATTTCAGAAAATGGAATATTCTTTGTTCAAGTATTAACAGTAGGCTTCCAGTGATTTTTTTTATTTTTTTTATTTTCCTAATTGGGACTCACACACACTGCCTCCACTGAGGTTCGAACCCCTGACCTCCCTTTGGAAAGTAGGAGCCTTGTACCGCTAGGCCACAGGCCTGTTGGTCTTCCAGTGTCAATTAATACCCAGGCCCCGATATATATCACTAGTGACATGGATTTCTTCAGATTCTGATCTGATAGAGAAGAAAAACGCCTAGAAAAAGTACTATGGAGGTTAAAATTTAACCATGATGCATTGCAATACAAATCACAAGTGCAATGATAAAAATAAATATTGGCTGAAATGTAACTCATGTGGGCATGACAAAACAAAACATGATGGATATTTACTCAAATATCTGTGTTTAAAATAAGCATCCAAACCTAAAAGAAAATTTGGGCAGAAGAAGAACGGAAAAATGGTAACAATAGAAGGATTGGAAATTGTTTATCCCTATTTATTTCCTCTCCTCCAGAAATATCAAATAGCTGACTGGATAAACTGCTGACCGAGGAAACTTTTAATGTTTATTAATAAAGGTTAAGTTAGAAAATATTTAGTTATACAAACATTTAGTTAAATGTCATACAAACTAATGCAATATTGACATTAGCTACCACCAGCTCTATTTGAATGGTACCTCCTGCCCTCTCAAGATAGGGCGTTCTGGGTCCAAATCCCGTTGAGACATGGGTGCATGAGAGACATATCCAATAAAAGTTACTAGCATGAGTATCACAGTATCACACTAGCATCAGCAAACCTTTTCTTTTTCTTTTTATGTGGATAAATTAGATCTAGCAAATTTCACCTTTTCTTTTTCTTTTTTCACAGATAAAATACTAAGAGTGGGAAGTGCAAAACCATGTACAAATTTTTTTTTTTTTCCTAGTTGGTACTCACACACACTTGTCTCTTCTGAGACTTGAACCCCTGACCTCCCTTTGGGAAGTAAGAGACTGATACCGCTAGGCAACTGGCCCGTTGGTCAGAACCATGTACAAATGATATATGTATAGTGAACACACAAAAAAAGAAAACTGGGAAAAAGGCAAAACTACAGCACCTATACTCGAATTCCCCTCAATCATCTAGGGAAAAAAAAAAAAAAAAACCTGAATGACTTTGAAACCAGAAAAAATAAAAAATAAAAGAGGGCATTCAAGAAAACATTTTCTTTAGCAATACCACTGACATCTCCTACTATTGATTGTCTACTGTGCTTGTCCCTTATACATCCCCACAAACACAAGCACACAGCTACCCACAACTTCCACACTCCAACTTGCACAGCCCACCTTCTAAAACTCAACAAGACTATAAGAGATCTAGGCAAAACCGAATGAACCCTAAATGAGGAGAATAGGAGATAACATACTTCCCTCACTAATCAAACAATGGATCAACAATTGTTCATTATCTCATCTGCTCTTTTGCACGTGAAACATCAATCAGGGAGGAATTACCTCTCAACACCAGATTATCAATAATGAGAATCTTTCTCGAGGCTGCAGTGCATCCAACAAATACCACTTTGGTTGGATCCTTTAGACCCCAAATTGCCATCCAAGGAAAAGACAAGAGCGCCCCTTCACCTTCTTTGTAACCCCATAGAATCAATTGTCCTCAAAATACCCCTTACTGGAGGCTTCCATCAGCAAGAATCCTCAACTCCAACAACTCAACAGGACAAAATTTCATGAAAAAGATAATCTAACTTGTACTTGACCCAAAAGTCATGCAGCTCCTTCCCCTTCACCACATCCTCCTCCTGAACCTCTACAAGTGATCAAATAAAATCTGAATAGTAAATCACCTCATTAGCAGCCATGGAACACTAATTGTTAATTCACCCAAAATTCACCCAAGGCTCCTTAATTTCACATGAGGATCCTCACTGGAAAAATAAAAAAAATAAAAATAAAAATCATACGAGGATATGGTAAACATTCCCATTTAGACTATTGTGAGGTAATGACAAGGCAGCTGTTAATAGATAGAAACACTATGGTGGTAAGTTTTCTTTTCCTCCACAATAGACAGAAAAGAGAAATACACTCATGAGCATATAGTTGATTGGTTTCAGTTTCAGATCACATGAAGGTCTGCATTTCAAATTATAAGTTTTTGAATACGAACTCATTGGAATAATACACCATTAAGAAATATAATTACTTTAATTTGATTTAAACCCTACACCTCACACCCTGGGTCTTGGGTTTCAGGAGCCGGGGCATGACATGAGCAGTCAAATAATGATAGCAGCCAAAAACACTTTTGAGTGAGATTATTTATATATATATATATATATATATATATATATATATAAAAGTAAAAGTAAAAAATAGAATAGAAAGCATTCAAAAGGGGAACGCATCCCAAGAATACACCATTATTCGTTTTTGAGTGGGGTAAGTTTTTGAAAGCCTCAGCAAGCAAAGGATAATATGTTCAGGCTGAATCTCATGCTCTCTATCCATCTCTAAAGCATGGAGCCTCCTCTAAGGAGTGCCATGTCTGAGGGCCGGACTGGGGAGCGTCCTAGAGTGTGGTTTAATTTTTTTGGGTTGGACATGGCGTGTACACTTGAGGAATGCGTCTAGGGCATGTTTGGGACATGACAGGGTATTTTTTGCAATTATTCTTTTTAAAAGGCGGAATTCCAAATGTAGTTTTAAAACAAGTCATGGGACAATACAAAAATAACATCATTTCATTACTGGAAAGAAACTCCACTCGTATGGAAAGCCAAATTTGTTAATTTACAGATATATAGATAAAGAAATTTACTTATAAAAAAAAAAATAGATAAAGAAATTTAAAAACATATGTGTGAAATTCTGCTATTTGTCCCGTTTCCTTACCTTTTTTTCCCCCATAATATTAGCTCCATTATGATTCCATATATAATAAATCTACTAAACTTTTTAACAGGTTCACTCTGGTTTTTCAAATTAGTGATTATATTCATGGTCCATATAGCGATTTATCGTATTACATTTTTACTACTGAAAATAAACATGGACAGGACCCAGGCGCATGAAAAAACAAAAGCTTTTGAGGACAGTTCTATCGGTTGCATATCAGTGTTTTCTACTTACAAAGTCAGGAATGCAAAAGGCATCCAATAATTGTTTGTACTAAATGAAAAATAATAATAATAATAATAAAAGAAAAAGAAAAAGAAAAAGTGGCACTTGAAGTGCAGCATACCTCCTCTGGTTGATGCCCTTTCCTGTGCATGTCTTCCATTGTACGATAAGCAAGCAGATACAACTTCTCCTTGAAAAAATATTTTATTAGGATATGAAAAGTATTCCAATCAGGACTGATTTCTAATTCATCCATTTTTCTCATCATTTTCATAACACTCTCCATTTCCCCTGCTCTGCAGTAGGCACAAAGCATTGTATTCAAAATAACCACGTCATACTTGTCATATGTGGCTTCAAAATTGCAAGCCAACTGTTTTGCATCTTCCAATAGCCCACTTCGGCAAAATGCTGAAATCATAATACTGTCGGAATAGCCATCTGCATGTATCCAAAAAAAAAATTCAAGTATTTCTAGTGAAGCAAGTTAGAAAATGCAACTTTTGCTAGGCATCTATGTATATACTCTGCAAGCGGTCCTAAGATGTAATGAAAATAAAACACACATCTTACATGTAAAATATCTTCTTCTTTTTTGAAAGATAAAGGTAATTATATATATTAAGTGTAAAACTGTACAGCCCAATAGGGGAAATTTCCCATAGCAGGCTATGGGCTAACCATTAGAAGAAATTGAAAACAAACATGGCCCAGGCCCAACAAGATGAGCAGTCCATCTAGTACCCAATTTCACATACCATTGACCGTTATCTGACATGTAAGGGAATGTCATCTTTAAAACAAATTTCTTTTTGTGTACAATGTAGCAACTATACAGGCTGATGCGATAAGGCAAAAACATGCCATCTTGGAAGGAACATTTCTGAGTGTCCATATCCCTAACAACTCGGCACACACAAGCCACCCTCCCCCAAAGAAAAGGATCGAAAGAAAAGAAAAGAAAACTGCTAAACTACTTTAATCTAAAACCATGGTTATAATAGGCTTGTTGAAACCATATATCTATAATTGTATTGCTATCTGTTTAATGAAACTTATTGAACAAGAAATACTATTATTCATTTGATATGATATTTAAACATGCATTTGTTGCATTATGGACCATTAAGGTAGGACACAGAATTTAATGTTTAAAAGAAGACAGCAGAAAGCTCATAATCTAACAGCGAATACATACCAGATTTCACATGTTTATTCTTCATATCATCAAAAACTGATTTTGCTTCATGTATATGTCCAGCCTTCGCAAGACCATCCAATAGTAAACAGTATGGCATCTACAATTAATTTACATTTGATAAGCTGTCGAAGTACTTTGCAACTTAAAAAAGATGTTAAGAAAATAAAAAGGACAATTAGAAAATCTGCCACTATCAAGCAAAAATAAACCTACAAGGGCACAAAAATGTACCAATTTTGACCAGTATCACATACGTAGATGTCTGACAAGTAAGCTATACTGTGAAATTTGTAGGATTCACAAGCAAGCTATACTGTGAAATTTGTAGATGCTAGAATGCCTATAATTCAGAGAGCACTAGACATTGGTTGCACAACATAACAATGCTTTTGATCATAGGCACCAAAACAGTTGATAATGGATATGCCAAAGGGCTCATTTTTAGGCTGCAAAGTGAACCCTTTAAACCTACTTCTACTGTAAAAACTAAAGGTTCAATGAAGGACAAAAGTAAACTTCAATATCTACACGTGATATGTATGAGATGTGATTTTTGGAATTTGTTGAATCTCAACCAAATTTGTTATAATGATATGACATGGGTTTCAAAATGTGAATCCTGTGTGCTTACTAAATGATTCTTCATGGATCAAATCATTGTGTGTTTCAGGTCAAGATCATTTATTTCTAGAAACATTCTCCAAGAAATGACATGTAATGAAAGAAAAACTTTCCTGTGACATGATGAAACAACAGCTTTTTGAACTTAAATATAAAATGTAGAGGTATCAGGTGTATATACCTCATCTTCAGCATAGCCCAAAGCTTCCAGTTCAGTTAATAATTCTCTAGATTTTTCGAACAACCCTCCTCTAACATATACCTTTAGCAAAGTTGTCAAAATGACCTGAAAGAATCAACCAAAAATAATGAAGAAAACACTATGAGTAGTAACTGGCAGATATGGAATGCATATACTAGATTAGATAGAGAGATAAAAGAAACTTGGAAAAGTTCTTGAGAACCAACAAAAGCAAATAGAAACCTATAAATGTAGAGTCAGTAAACTCGATGAAAGAAACAGTAGAGAGAGTATACGAATACGAATACGAGTTTCACTACACTTTCAATCATATAGAGTATCACCTCTCGTACTGACCTCTTAAGCTCAAAGCCTTAAACCAATGGAGGAAAAACATAAGCCAAAAGAGAGTGACTGAAAAGAAAAGGAAAAAATTAATAAAACATGTAAGATTTGGTCAACCTACCGAGATAAGCATGACATGTTTCCATTCACCTTTATGTTCTATAAACCTCAATCATAAATTCAAGAGGACAAATCCATTTTCCTTGGTCTATTGCATGGAGACAATGTTTCATGCAGAGCTAGAAATCTCCTCTCCAAATGTTCAAGGGGTTCTGAAAATCTGGGATAAATCTGGGCCTTCTCTCAAAACTCAAATAATATTGTCTTTTTCTTCTTCGTTTTTCTTTTTTTTTTTGTTTTCTTTCACAAGGATGTCAATTTAACTTCTCATTGGAGATTCATTTGGTTGTTAATCTATTTAGCTTCACCCAATATTTTTTGACAGATTGCGGGTAATGTATTTTTTTCTTAGTTTTATTTTTTAAATTAGAGGAATAAATGTCTTGTTTGTCTTAGTATTAATTTCATTTTAGATTCTAAATAGCAAGTTATTAATAATTAAATACCAAAAGAAAAGGAAAAGTCCAGGCAGATCAATTCTTATCAAAAAAAAAAAAATCCAGGCAGATCATGGTAGCTCAATCATACTTAAAAAGCTCCATGCTACCCACCAATGCCCAATTTCAACATGAGAATACTGAAGATGGAAATATTATTTTATCCGAAGGTATTGGTGAAAGAATATTTGTGTAATTCATAATTACATATGAATTGGTACAACGTTAGTTCTTGTAATCCCTGCAGATCTTTTTGACCATTGCACCAAACAATGCCCCCTTCTCCATCAATCCTTTATTGTGAATCACATTTGGGTCAACGCTAGCTTGTGTGGAGCTGATACCAAATTATCTCAGAGCCTACCAGCACCAAGACCAATGCCAACACTTAAACCAGCTCAACAAAACCTTTTCATCTACTACTTATATATGAGTCATATTTTTTTCATTCTGCTCTATCTAAGACCATAGCCTTACTCAAGCCACATGTTATCATATCTTTTCTTACTAACTCTATCCATCTTTTTTTTTTTTTGATAAGTAAACCCATGTTAATTTTGCTCTTCCCTTCCTCTAACATTATAACCAGTATGGACCATGTCATTCTTTCTAACTGGTGCATTAATACCTTATCCTCCTATGTCATGTTACTGCCCTACCTTTATGCATTCGGTCCCAAGCCCGGAAAAATGAGGGTTGCATTAGGTAGCTTAAGAACGAGCATAAACTTTTGTCTGGACCAAATTAACATGAATCTTAAGAATATACGAATGCCTACACTTAAACCACAAATACAATAATTGTTTTCTTTTCCTTTCTTTTTCTTTTTTTTTTTTTTTCCCTGGCAGTCGATTTGACAACACTGGCCGACGTATCCATATGAAATAAAGGTAAGATGAAGATGATGAATGGACAATACTACTATATTGATATACCATCAGCGAAAAAAAAAAAAAAAATCCAAATACACCAATGCTTGGAAACCCATAATCATTAGCAGCATAAAACAAGAAAACAAACCTTATTTGGTACTAACCCTGCACATTTCATATCCTGAACCAACTCATCAGCCTTCGTGTAATTGCCATCTACCGAGTAAGCATTCAGCAAAGAGCTGTAATGGAAAACATTAGGAGAATGACCTTCATCCTTCATCTGGTTAAAGTATTGTTCTGCTTCTTTACATTGATTATTTGAAGCACATACAGCGAGAAGTGTCCCATAGACTATGCTATCCATAGGCACTCCATTGTATTTCAGCTCTTCAACCAACTCTAATGCCTTAGAGTAGCCATGTTTAGCTTTGGTACAGCCTGAAAGCAGCTAAAGATGACAGAAGATAAGAATGATGGAGGCTTACAGAAGAACCTACAAAAATTAAAACAGCATAAACTGGAAGAAGAACTTCAATTATTTCAATATTTTAGTGCATTTAGACGCCATAAAGTAATATGACATTCCATTCTCTCTCATTTTTTCTTTCCTTTTTTTTCCCATAATAATTGCACAGTAGTAAAAGTGTTGGCAATGGCATCTCAGAAAGAGATGTCAGCAAGAGTTCAATTCTGGGAGGTAATAATTGAAATGAGCATATTATTATAATCAATTATCCCAAATAAGGACACTGTAAGATTTATATACATGACCATCTTTGCTTTTCTTGGTATGATCAACTTGCTATTTTGGCTGAAAATCAACCTTACATGGCCAACTGATAATTCTATGTCCAACGGAAATGATAATATATATTAGTCAAAATGGCATACCGTGCTATACGTAACAATATCTGGTCTAAGACCATTTTGCTTCATCTGATGAAAGAACCTGATGCTGCTGTCGAACTTGCCGTTCCTAACTAGACAACTAAGAATAGAATTACAGACAGTAACGTTGTTCCTGATTGACTCATCTGTTATGCTATTGTATACTTCTAGAGCCTTCACAGGATTACGGCTCTTTCCCATGAACTTTATATAACTGCTATAAGATGATATGCTGATTTTCCCTTGTTTCAGCATCCAATCAAAGAGCTGCAATAATTCTCAATAACACAATATTATGATTATTAACTTACTATTGGTGGATAGGAAAAAGAAGTTCAAGAAACGAAAAATTTAGATCAAATACAAAGAATGGGAGAAGAAGAAATAATCCATATATTCACTAAAACATACACAAAAAAAGAGAGAAATGGAGAGATAGACAGGAATGCACACAAAGAAGGGGAAGGGGCGGGGAAATACCGAGAGGGAGGGGGAGAGAGTGCAATTATAGTCCTTCAGACAAGAATATAAGTACTTATAAGAAAAAACAGAAATTACCAAAGAATATCACAAATCAAAATCAGACAAAGACTTCCTATATTCCCTGCAAGACTGCAATAAAATCATTTTTTTTTTTAGCTCTGATTATTCTTACTTGTACAAATTTTTTCTTTATAGTTTTCTGCTTAGCAGAGAAAATTTCTTGATACCATAGTCCACAGTGTTAACACCCTACGAGAAGGGAAATGGGAAGATCTAATAACATGCAAACTGAAACAATCACAATTTTAATTTGCCCAAGAGAAGTTGAATTAATAACGAAGACTTAGCAGTAAGCCAGCAACTGCTGTATTTTTTGTTACTCAGATCTACCATTCTTAGCATGTAATAATTCAACTGCATAAGATCGTCCTCTTAATAACACCACAATGCATTTCAAAATAAATAAAAAGGGATTACCCAGGCGCTGTAATCTCCACATCTACTTTCTATTAGTGGTGGTTATACATAGTTCATCCATAACATCACCACTTAAACTTAAGGATGGATGATTGTAAAGATGGATGATTGCAGACTTGAAATATTTTAAAACACAGAGTTAATGTGGGAATAGTAAAGAAGGATATGGTAACATGTGGTTTAATGCTATGGCCATGGATAGAGCGGAATGTAAAAATAAGATTCCCCGAGTAGTTCGGAAAAAGCTTTGTTGAGTTGATTTAAATAAAGTTAAACTCACAGCTTCAATCCAACCTAAATAAGACTCATTATATCATTTCAAAGCTTTTCCAACACATTACAAAGAAAAAACCCATACGGATTTATTATTATGTTACACCAAAATCCCACATTCTCCACCTAAAGCATACCCACAAGCCAACAAATCAATCCAAACACAAACATTGAGAAATACTGATCATACATTTCCTAGATTTTAAGATTATTCATTCATTAAAATTATTCACGTCATTTATGTTTACACAAAATATAATACACATATCGTTCATAAGTAGTTCAGCTAAAATTATTTTCATGCCATGTAATTTTTAACCAACATATGGTTTATTGGAAACATGCAAGTCAGAACAAATTGCACAATGTGGGTTGTAATCTGCATATAGGAGACCCTTCAATAATAAAACAAAATACATTAACTGGGAAAATAGCCACACAAATACAGTGGGAAAAGATATATCCTTAGGTGTTATGGGTTGAATAGGACCTAGAAGGGGGGTGAATAGTAGTTCCACTTTTACTTTATTCAACTTTAACCAATTTTAATCAATTAATTTATCATGGTCAAAGAAATCATCAACCAATCAAACAATTCAAATCATAAAGCAATAAAACAAAGTAAATTGAGAGATAGATATTTACTTAGAGACCCCAAAAATGGAAGAACAATGAGACAACCATATGCCAATAATCCACTATAATCAAATATCAAGACTCTTACCTCGAAGAACCACATATGTTGAATTTCATCTGATCCACACACGTCAGACACTCCAGTATCACCTAGGTTATGCTCCTATCAATCAACAAATTTGTTCACCAACGGGATTCACTCTTCATATAGTGATTACTTATTGTCATGTGACCCAACTCTATGTGCTAAGACTGATCAATATTCAAGTCATGAATAAAGCTCTTTACTTCAGAATTCAATCACACAGCATAATAGCGTATTCTATGAAAAACCTAACTAGTGGCTGAAAAATAAAGTTCTCAGTATTGGGCTCTCAATCACTTGTAATCTATTCTCATGTTTTGGAGTTATGTTTCCATGTGTTTAGAAAAACCTATGACACCTTTTATAGTAGTGGAACGAGTAGAGATTGACAAGAAAAGCTTTGGGCGAGTTTAGGAAGGTTTGGAAAACTACTCAAAATTGGAAAGGACAGGAATGAATTGATCCATGCTGAGTTCTATCAATCCAAACAACTCTAGCTGTCAACGATTGATACATTAATCAAACAAAACTTCAATCCAAGCCTTTTGGAGTTAGTTCGATTGATCCAAGTAATGGTTCAATCAATCCTGGTTTCTGTCGAACCTGACTTCAAACGGTGTGACTTTAGATGCTTCATTGAAGGGCCAAACATACTCAAAATTTGAAAAAATATTATTCAAAAGCTTATTGAGTCTAGTTTCTAGAAATATAAAGTTCAGCATGAAATTCCATGTATATTATTTAAAAAGATTTTTTAAAGACACACAGGTTAGTTTTGACAACGTCAAATCCTTGCCAAAATCTACTTCATATGTGGTTTGTAATTCAAACATAAAATATAATCTTCCTAGCCCAAATAAAGGTTTCAAATTCATTCCTAAATAAGAAATATTCAATTTCGAATTTATTAATTAAGCTTAAATCAATTGCAAAGTAATTCCAAATTAGTTCCATTTTCCTAATTACCTAAAAACTAATTTTAACCATTTTTTCAAGATCAATTACGAACTTTAGATCAACTTACTTATTAATTACAGATACAAATCCTATGGTCTAATGGTCTTCTAAGTCACTTGCCTTCCCTAAACTCTGTGATGAAGGAAGATGTTGATACGATCTTTCGGCTTAGTCTTCAATCCACAATCACAGCTTTAAACCTTTCGCTGAAGTGATCAACACTATAGATCAAGACAGAACTTTTGTTCACAAATATGCCAAGAGAAGACACTTTTTTCCTAACAAGGAAGAAAATGTATTTCATGCCAAGCAAGTTTTAACTAATAAGTGCTTTCTTCAAACCCGCAAGTCCCTGATAAAACAAAGTATACTTCTTCCGAAGCTTCAAAAAATTTCTTTTCAATATGGAGTACAAATATATTTATGTTACCTTCAGACAAACTCATCAGTTCATGGTTTTAAATGCTTAAAAGGTTACGTGAAATCCACTTTAAAAATTGCATCAATGTGCATTGTAATCTGCACACAAGAGAACCTAATAAAAAAACCCATAAATACATTATTAGGCAACAATACACAAGGACAACAAAGAAAGAAAGCACATACAAAAAATATGAAAAGAAAATTAAAAAAAAAAATAAAGGTTTAATTAGCAGTTAAATTGTTTACCCGCTATGAACAGATCAGGCAGATTATGAATAATGACATATTTTATTAGCAAATCAAATAAAATATCGTAATTTGATATCAATCTGTGGAACCTGAGAAAGCTCCTGCCATCGGCTAAGATTCCCAAAATGGCGCAGAACAACATTCAAGTCTTGCACCTTCAACATCCCTCCTGACCTGTAAATCAATACACGAGTCAGTCGTCTTAACCTAAATGCATCAGAGAGTTCCATAAAAGGAATACTTTAAGATAGAACAAAATTCCCCCCTTTATCTAATTGTGAAATAATACATCCATCTATTTACATTAGTGTGGATGAGGTTATATTGCTTCACCGGAACATGGAATCAAGAAAAAGGTTTACCTACCTATCACATGCATTGTCATGCTGCATTACAGAGACAAGATTAATTGAAGCATTTCCCTGATTTGAACAGAACTGCTTACCAACAGGTTAACTTAAGACTGTGGACAGATAAACACATAAGGTTGGCACATTCCTGTTCTCAAATCCAAAAGAGTGATCGAAATATAGCCTGAGATAATTATTGAATAAAGAATTCTGGTGCACACGTGTGTTGACAGATAAAGATATTTCGATGCCACTTCCAACTAGAGGATGTAAATAATGAAAAAAGAAACTAGAAATTCTCTCTGAAATAAATAAGAAATCTTTGTAATAGTAGAAAAACAAAAATATTAGGTATCTTGACTATCTTCATTCAGTATGAGAAACCTTGGCGAACTGGTACGAGAAAAAAGTTGAAAAACAGGACAGTTTCGACTCAACTAACCTCCAAAGCTGTTGCAACCACTTGGGTACAGTTACACATATCTTTAGTTATCATTTAATCATCTAAATCAATACCAGTAAACAACAAGCCATCATGGCTTTATTATGGTCAAGTTTTTTTCATCACTCTCCTTATCTTTATAATAAACTTCAGCTTAAACCAAAACACTCCTTACCAATCCATAGCATTTTTTTTGTTGCACATAAACCAACCAATATATAATCCTGAGTCGCTACTCTAAAGCCTTCTTTGCTTATTCTATCCTTTTTTAAATTGCCACACACCTATTCATTTGTCCTCATATTAGCTACTACATTCACATTAATTAGAAGATATCCAAGTCCCTAAAATCAAGGCCATTGCCCAATGTTGGTCCATGAAAGTTGCCAGAATGAATGGACCGGATACAACCCTAACCTCTGACACTGTTGCACAAAAAACAAATGCTTCCATATTCCAACTCTTAGTTTCACACTTAGAAGCAAAGCTCTTACAATTGCTCTGAGTAACGTCCTTATCTATCATAAAATTTTCTTAAAACTCAACACAACATACCCTTATCATAACTATTCTAGACTGGCCGTATGCAATCCCCTTTTCCATTGCATTCAGTCTAGGGCCATAGTTTCAATCAGAAAACATGTTACAGGCCTTTCTTTACTATCTCGTTAACTCTACCTTCCCCTTATCAAGCCCTTCATTGATGCAATTATGGGTTTGCGTAAGATCAAACCATCTTAATCAGTGATCTCTTGTTTTATCTCCAAATTAATGTTACCTCTACCACCTTAAGAATGCTTTCATTTCTAATTTCATCATTTCTTTCTGACTATACATTCATCTCAACTACCACATTTCAGCTCATTTATCACAAAGCTTCCTGCCAACTTTATAGGAATACCATAATGTTGATGAAACAATAAAACAAACCCACTTCCACCTAACCCATCTTGCTTTAATTTGAGTAGCAACGTCATCTCCAATCTCTTCATATGAATAATCGACCCAAAAAATTGAAATGTTCTTTTCAAAATCTCTCTCATATAGGACTACTAAGGGAGCCTCAAATAGATGAAAGTTAAAAGATTTAGTAGATGAAATTTTAGTTAGTCGTAGAGTCAGATTGTGGGAATCTACGGCTCAAAATTTGAGAGATATGATAATGAACAAAAGAGACGTAGTGAAGGCACAGCAGTAGGGCCTAGGCATCAACCCTAGAAAAGGTTTCGCACCTTCAAAGTTTGTGAAACACTCACAAGAAAATGTTGCAAGACCCAGTCATTAATATAACCATTGATAAAAACAAAGGTCATACTCCTTTTTAAAGTAGCTCCATTCATAACTATATCACTCTTTGAGTTGCACATAACAGAATAGTTGTTCCTACTCAGGACCATATGACTCTTAGTCTTGCACTATTATGGAGGTAAACCATAGGGCTCAAAACTCTCAAACTTCTAAAACCCATGACTTTTAACCATGACTTGTAGACTTCCTGTTATAATAATAAATTATTAAAAGCACATAAACTCTAAGGATGACTGCTTTAAAAGAACACATAACAAAACTCAGAAATCACCCAAATTGACTAATCCTAACTATGCAAGGATCTAAATTGCCTCTACATCATCTAACATATGCCAAGTCAAGGATTTTGAGTTACCTTCCTTTCCACACCTTTTATACACCTTTGAAGGTTGCTATCACTAATCTCCATAAACTCTCCACACTTGGAGAAACTAGACCCCAGAAAGTTAAAAAGCATGGAATTGGTCATAAAGGTCAGGGCCTAGCCATCGGAATGCATTAAGATTCTTTATAATCTGAATAGTATGTCATCGTGCTGATTATTAATCAACCTCCCGTTTTTCAATTCATGCAGACATGATGACAACATCGTTCTAATACCAAACTAATGTAGGACTTTTAAGGCTGCGTTTGGTTAGAAGGAAAAAAATACTGGAAAGTGGAAGTAATAGAAAGCGAAGTGAAAGAAAGGAAAATATGTTTCACTTAAATCATATAAACATATGAAAGACATCTCAGATATTACTTAAGGGACGTTGTCCATAAGGCTGATATAGTTAGGGCTATTTTTTTTCACTCGTGTAGTTAAGTCTAACCTTAGGGGATCCTCAAATTATAATCTATGCACGCAACTAACTGAGCTAGTTCAAACATGACCAACTGCATTTGAAATCAATTCTCTGTATAACAAGAGAATACCAAAATTCAGTCCAATTCTCTAACAAAAAGCTTAACTCTGCCACAAATCATAAATCCAGTTGAGCTTAGGTTACAAACTTGCAATGCATGGATTATCAAGCAAACACAATACAATATGCCAGCAAAACTACTGTAAAGGAGGAGATAAGTTCACTAACCAAATTGAAATACCGCGGAAATGTCAACTTGAAATTCATGGTTTGTATAAAGTAAATGATGATAAAGATAACTTCACTTGTCAAAAAAAATAAATTCTGATATAAATTCAAATCAGTAATTCAATTTCACCATTATTTAGAACACCCAGATGAGATTTCAACTTAAAAATCATGGGTCATTGCACCCAAAAAAAAAAAAATCTATCAACAAAGTTGAGCAACCAAAGGCGACAGTTTCAACAGTCAAAATTGAACCAAAATAAAGAATTAAGGTACTAAATATAGTATCCCATTTCACATTTCAACTCAAATATCCATAATTTGACTGCATAAAAGCTGATGAAGACAATTTCATATGTCAAAGAAATGGTAAGCAACACATTTCATAAATAATGTCAAACATTAAAGTGAGAGAGAACCTTGCCAGAGCTGAGTCCAATTCAGAGGATTGTTGAATGTCGCGAATAGCGGATTGCCTTTTTGTGTGCGAAACAGAGAGAGGTCTTTGAGATGTGGCCGAAACATTGATGGTTGCAGAGGTGGATTGAGAGCTCTTGGTGGGTCTGGCAACCGCTGGAGATGGAGGGAGTGAAGAGGTTATGAGTGAAGGGCGGGCGAGGATAGGCTGAAACCCATTTCCAAACATATGACAAATCTCCATCTCTCTCCCCTCAAAATCAGTTCAACTCCCCTCAAAATCAGTTCAACTCCAGGCCTTGCTGTTGCTGAGACGGAGGATATATGGGCAATAGATGGTCTGAGATAGACACTCTTTTTTACTGGGCAAGAATGACTTCCGTCGGGACGGGTAGGCTACAGGTGATCCGGATTGGATTCACATAGTCCATCTCTTTAATTCAATTTTTTTTTTTTTTTGTATTAAACAGGGGTAAAGTGCCAAAAAAGGACCAAAAAAAAAAAATCACTCGCTATATAAAAATTTGTGCAAAATATATTCTAATTTTTTTATAAAGTGCATATTGGTCGTCAATTTTAATCAAATATTTTTATAAAATTTTCAAAATATCCTTGGTATGTTGGTGAAGGTGACTTCCGTTGGTGTTAAAAACACAATCTTCTTCTCTTCACATGGGTCCAAATCAAATTATTTTAATCCCGAATTTACCAAATATGAGAGGACTAATGCAGAGCACCCAGCTCTTGAAATTGGTTGACTGTCCTTATTATTTTTTATTTATTTAAATAAATATTTTTATTTTTTATTATTATTATTTTTTTTAATTTTGCTTTAAGAGCATTTTAGGTATTTTAGATTTCAAATTGAAGAATTGTCTTTATATTTTCAATTTGAAAAAATGTAACGAGTAATTTTTTTTAACATTAGAGGATATTTGCACATCGAGTGTATGGCAAAGATTTTTTTTGCACTTTATCCTTAAAAATATAATTAATAAATCTGTATGATAAGAATTGGTGCAATTGATGTTGGAGTGTGTTGGTTCAGTTTCCTATAATGTACTTATTAATGGGGAAAGGGGGGCAGCTTTAATCCTTTCCAGGTCTCCATCAAGGCGATCCAATCTTTCCTTACCTTTTCTTGTTCTGTACGGAGGTTCTCTCTCTTTTATTCAATGAGTTTGTTCGTATCAAACAGCTTGGAGGTTTGAAAATGGGCGTGGTTGTCCTTCTGTTTCTCACCTGCTATTTGCCGATGATGCTCTGCTATTCTGTAAGGCCAAAGACCCAAAGGTGACTCATATCAAAGCTATCCTTGACAGATATGAAGCTTAGTCAACTTATTAATCTTGACAAATCATGCATTTATTTTTTCTCCGAATACTTTATTGCCCCAGAAAGCTTTCTGCAGGCAAGTGTTGGGTATTTATTCTGTTGACTGGCATAACCGGTACTTAGGGCTCCCTTCTTTTTTGGGTCGGTCAAAAGTGGCGACTTTTTCTTATATTACGGAGCGAGTCACAGCAAAGACTATAGCTCTTAAAGGTTCATTACTCTCCAAAGCGGGTCATGAGGTTTAGGTGAAAACGATCCTCCAATCTTTACCAATTTTTTCTATGTAATGTTTCAAACTCCCAAAGTAGAATTGTTTGGCGCTTTTAAGCTTATTTCTGAATTTTTGGTGGAGTGGGATGGCAAAATTTTCCAAGATTAAGTGGATAAGTTGGGACACTCTTTGCAAGCCTAAAGGTCAGGGAGGTATTAGGTTTAAAAATGTTGAGGCTTTTAACTTGGCAATTCTTGCTAAGTTAGCCTGGTGTATGGAGTTACGTGATGAGTCCCTGCTATTTATCTCTTTCAAATAGCGGTACTTTAAGAATTGCAGTTTCGTGGAAACGCCAAATCGGTCCCGAACATTGGTGTTTGGAAAAGTATTATGTCCGCTAAGGAGGTGGTTAAAAAAGGTTTGAAATGGCGTATTGGGGATGGTTCGTGGGTTAATTGTTGGACGGATAACTGGCTTCCTGACCCTTTTCATCCTACTGTTACATCCTCTCGGCTTGGTGCTAACTTCTTTTCGGTGGAGGCGTTGATTGATCCGTCTTTGCATACTTGGGATGCGGCTCTCCTTAACCGTTTCTTTAACCAACAGGACAAAGCTCTTATATTGCAAATCCCTCTTAGTTTTATGGGTGGCTCGGACAATAAAATGTGGGGGCCTTCTCATAATGGTCAGTTTTCAGTTAAAAGTGCGCATCAAGTTGCGTTGTCTCTCCTTCAAGTTGAGTCTGTTCATGCTTCCGATGATGGGTGTAGTTTTGATGTAGGTCGTGGTGTTGTATGGCGTAGTGTGTGGAAAATTAAAGCTCACCATAAAATCATTCTTTTTTTGTGGCAAAGCCTTCATGATCGTCTCCTTGTCAACCACCTTCTTCATATCCGTACGGCTTCTGACTTCTTCGGCTGTCCTTTATGTGTGTCTGAGGTTGAGACCATTGATCACCTCCTTTGTACATGCCCTTTTGCGTGTAATGTGTGGAAACTTAGCCCTCTTCGACTGGATTTTTTTGATGCGTAGCCATCGTTCTGGCCAAAAGTGATACCCCCTAATTGATCAAATCCGCGCACAAAATTAAAGAATATCAAAACAATTAAAGTATTTCAAACAAGCACAGATTACAAAAAGAATTAAAAAGAATAAATAACTCGCTGAAGAAAACTAATAAACAATAATTTTATTAATACTTCTCCAAAATTACAACTCGGGAATCCCGTAATACAGGATCCCTAAAAACATTATCAAATAATCTAATCAAGTATAAATAAAATAAGTCTATCATCCTACTTTGGAATAAACTGAAAGAATAGATAAGTCCTCCAGCTGCGGATTCTCAACTTTGAGACTTTAACTTCTAATCACTTTAAAGATAAAAATAAGTGGGTCAAACCCACGAGCAAATTCTCTCTACCAGGCCTCTAAAAACCAATAAATAGATCATCTCTGATTAAAACCAAACCTAATAAAGTTTTTAACTTTAATATATAATAATACGCGTATATATATATATATATATATATATATATATATATATATATATATATATATATTACCACAGTCACATCTATTACTAAGTTCATTAATTGCGAAACTATTAACAATGATTAAATAATTATCATTCTTAGACTAATTCACCATTTATTTTAAAGAAAAGTTCCCTTAAACCTTAATTCCAACCTAAACTGTTATTTAATCATTTAAACAATAAATTAATATTAAAGGAATATTACATTTAATCCAAAACTCAATAATAATTTAATTATTTAAATCACATAACCAATAATTAGGCTTTGACAAATTGTCCATGTCTCTATCAATATTAATTTATTAATATATATAAAATAATACACTAACCTGTAAGTACTAGATTATTCTAATTTAAAACTATTGAATCCTAATCCAACCTATACATACAATAGATGAAATTTTAATCATCTAATACGCATAACAATTTAATTATGCTTTGGCAAATTAAACATTCCATTATAAATATATTTATTTATATATTGGCATTTCAACCATACCTCCTTTAGTATATATATATATATACATATATATATATTTATATTTATACTTTTAATTAGCAATTCATCTCCCATATATGAAATTTATTCATAAATAATAAGGCCGTATATTTAAGCCTTTGGCAAATCATCCATGCCTACAATTCAACCATGTACCAAACCTTAAAACTAATGTAACAATAAAACAAATCATACTTAGGCATTCCATGCATATTATAAACATATCATCAATTTAATAACTAGCCTATTATGATTTAATCAACCATACTACCTATAAATCAATATATATTAAATAAGAATAATGATATTAATATTCTTAAATAATATATACATATACACATATATTATTTAATATGTATATATATGTATAATACATTCCATAATAATATTTGATTATTAAAATTATACACACACACACACACACACACACACTTTCTTCCATGACCAAATTATTAATTAATTATAATCACGCCAATTAAATGTAACTAAATATCGTAGTAGCATCCTACCGCCCTCAAACACCCAAAATACATCCTCAAATAATTTATTTCAACATTAATAAGCATAAAATCAATCATGGGACATCACCAGACCATATAGGAACTTTGCAAGACCATGCACGCATCCCCACGCGCCCCCACGTGAAGCCACATGCTCCTACACACACTGCATGCATTTCCACGCACTGACAGGCGCATCCACGCGCCTTCTACATTCTCGACGCGTATGTGGCTCCTTCTGATTGGCTGTCTTTCCATGTTCTTGTGTGTCGCGATGCACTTGATCACTATTTTGTTGACCAAACCAAGTCAACAGACCAGATGTGCATGAATTCTCAATCCACGTCTTTTGATCAATAGGAAGAAGAGGAGAAAAACGTACCTTAACCCCATGCACCATGATGCACTGAATCATATCCCTTTTCTCAATTAAATCTAACCATTAGACTTATCATGCACTACAATTCACCGAATCACTCTAATATTATTTTCAAAGTTCAATGAGTCAGATTCAAACGCACACTAAGCTATGATATATACCGCCCACACTGAATCAAAATCCCTATTTGATGCACCGATTTACATATCTAGTGTGTATAAACTATATATATATATTTCAAACAAATATAAGAAAATAAATTTAATAAATTCCTAAAAAATATAGAAAAATACCAGAAAACTCCAGAAAATTCTATAAACCCTAAATAACCGTCTTGGGTCATAGATCAAGCATAATAATTAATTTAAAAAAATAAATACAACACATAAATCTCTCAATTTAAAATCCAAAGTTTTAAATAAAATAAAATATAATAAAGCATGCTTTTAGTTCTTCCAATCTAACCATGATTTAATCAAATAAATTAACTTAATGCCTCAGATTAATATGTTCTAACCATGATTTGAATTAATAAATTAAATCTAAAGCCTTGATACTCAAGGTGAAATTCTTATGAGTTGTAAGAGGAAAAATATAGAAAACTCGCCTGGAGGTTTCGAAACGGAACCGAAGTTTTGATCGTTTTTTCCATATCTGACTTCCTTTTTTTCTAATCCGGCCTTCTATTTGTCAGCCTTCTCATTTTTTTCTCTCTCTGCCTCTCTTATTTTTTAACGTGTAAACTTTTAATAATAAACCTTATGTGTATATTTCTACACATTACCCTAATCATATTCCTACAGTAACTACCAAATAAAATAATAAAAATAATAATTATCTTAAATAATATATATACATATACATTATATAATATATATGTATATTTCCTTCCGTGGTAATCCTTAACTAATTAAATCACACACACACACACATATATATATGTATATATATCAGTAAATATATATATGTATTTCGTTCCATAATAATAATTAATTAATTATATTTATATACATATAATTATATATACATATATAATTATGCAAAGATAATTATTTAAATATCTTTATAACCATGGACCTTTATTAATTAACCCAATAAGGCTTTCTTCAAGGCCAAAACCACATCCATTGGTCCCACTCCTCTTAAGCTCAATCCAATTAAAATAAAATAATTAAATTAAATCTAATAATTACAAATAATTAACAAACAATTCACACAAGCATAAATACATACAAATTAAATAAATAATTCAATCAAAACATTGCACAAAGTAAAACACCATATCAATTCAACAAATATAATCACGAAATATAATCTAATTAAAATAAGACAATTAATCTAAGCACTCAATAAAATAAAATAAATCATTTAAAAATAAAATAAAAGTAATTAATTCCAATTAAATCAAACAAATCATTTAAAAATAAAATAAGAGTAATTAATTCTAATTAATTAATCATTAAAAATATTGGGGTATTACACCAAAACGCTGGGCTGGGTTGGTGGACGGTTGGGTGTAGAGTGATGCTCATTCGGATTGTTCTAGCTTGGCGGCGTTTATTTATTGGACCATTTGGAAATGCCGGAATGACCTGGTGTTTAATAACAAATTGTGATGACCTTGTGGGTGGGTGTGCCGTGGGCGGGTGCAAGAGACACTGTCAGGCTACCACACTGGCGAGTTACGGGTGCACAAGTCCCACATCGCCTGGGTAGAGGAAATGTGAAGTGTTTATATGTAAGTGCATCATCTCCAATTAGTATGAGGCCTTTTGGGGTGAAACCCAAGAGCAAAACCGTGAGGGCTCAAGCTCAAAGCGGACAATATCATACCATGTGGTGGAGTGGGTGGTTACAAATGGTATCAGAGCCTGACCCAGCCGGAAGTGTGCCGACGGGGACGTCGGGCCTCCAAGGGGGGTGGATTGTGATGACCTTGTGGGCGGGTGTGCCGTGGGCAGGTGCAAGAGACACTGTCAGGCTACCACACTGGCGAGCTACGGGTGCACAAGTCCCACATCGCCTGGGTAGAGGAAAGGTGAAGTGCTTATATGTAAGTGCATCATCTTCAATTGGTATGAGGCATTTTGGGGTGAAACCCAAGAGTAAAACCGTGAGGGCTCAGGCCCAAAGCGGACAATATCATACCATGTGGTGAAGTGAGTCGTTACAAATGGTATCAGAACCTGACCCAGCCGGAAGTGTGCCGATGGGGACGTCGGGCCTCCAAGGGGGGTGGATTGTGATGACACCTTGTGGGCGGGTGTGCCGTGGGCGGATGCAAGAGACACTGTCAGGCTACCACACTGGCGAGTTACGGGTGCACAAGTCCCACATCGCCTGGGTAGAGGAAAGGTGAAGTGCTTATATGTAAGTGCATCATCTCTAATTGGTATGAGGCCTTTTGGGGTAAAGCCCAAGAGCAAAACCGTGCGGGCTCAGGCCCAAAGCGAACAATATCATACCATGTGATAGAGTGAGTCGTTACAAATGGTATCAGAGCCTGACCCAGCTGGAAGTGTGCCGACGGGGACGTCGGGCCTCCAAGGGGGGTGGATTGTGATGACCTTGTGGGCGGGTGTGCCGTGGGCAGGTGCAAGAGACACTGTCAGGCTACCACACTGGCGAGCTACGGGTGCACAAGTCCCACATCGCCTGGGTAGAGGAAAGGTGAAGTGCTTATATGTAAGTGCATCATCTCCAATTGGTATGAGGCTTTTTGGGGTGAAGCCCAAGAGCAAAACCGTGAGGGCTCAGGCTCAAAGCGGACAATATTATACCATGTGGTGGAGTGGGTCGTTACACAAACGATGGGATCCGTTTGAAGCTTCTCAACAAGCTTTCTCTGCTTTTAGTGAATTCTTAGAAGTTTCTCGCCAACATCTATTACTTACTTGTCCTAAGGTTCCTCTTCCTTGCCATCTGGGGCAGTAGGTTGTTCCAGCTTTGGATTTTCTGAAGCTGAATTTTGATGCAGCTTTCAACAGTTCTTGTCATTTGTGTGGTGGTGGTTTAATCCTTCGCAACCATCTGGGCAGCCGATTAATGTAGCTTCGGTGTTTCTTGATAATGTTAGTAGCCCTTCGCTTGCAGAGAGTCTGATCGTAATGGTGGCTTTATTGTATCTCAAGAGCTGGGGTTACCGTGGTGTGGTTATTGAAGGGGATTGCAAACAGGTTATGCAGTTGAAGGTTTTTGAGGTAGCCCAGTTAATTATCTTCAATGATGTTCATCTTCTTCTTTGGAAGTGTGTGGGCTCGTCGCTTGCGTGGGTTCCCCGTTCGGGAAATAGTGTCGCTCATTTATTGAGTAAGAAGGCTCTTGAAGCCGAGTGTAGTGATGCGGAGTGGAGCGTTTAGCTCTCATGGTTCTTACACGATGTTTTTCTTGATTGTGTTCCATCTTCTTTTATTTGATATATATATTTTTGGGTTTGCGTTAAAAAAAATATTATTTTATGTAACAAATGAACCATTATGTACCAGTATAAACAACTTTAATTTATGATGTGACATCTTCTTAACTAGGATTCTAGGCTAATGGGTCCTAATCCAAGTTACTTTTATAAGCTTATGTTTAAGCTGTTTACATTAGTTACCCATTGTTTAGTTACTTGGAACTATATATACATTTTTTTTTTTTTTTTTCTAGTTGGAACTCACAAACATTGTTTCCACTGAAGTTCGAATCTCTGACCTCCCTTTATGAAGTAGGAGCCTTATACCGCTAGGCCACATGCCTGTTAATACATTTTGATGGATTAGTTATACTTGATTAGTCAATTTAGGTGTGACAATGTTGTCGGTTAGTAATGATTTTCAACATATTTATATTTAATTTTTGTAGTTCGAAGTAATATGTTTAAAAATAAATTAATATATTAAAAAATAGATTTAAAGCCTTGAAAAATATAGAGCATTATTATAACATGATGGATTACCGATTACAGTAGAAGATTTAGGTTTTAATTGAGTAACTATACGTTTAAATTTTCATCAGGCAAGTCAAATTTGGTTGATCATATATACTCAGTTTAATTAGTTTAAGCTATAATTGAGATTGAATCTTGTATTATAAATTTTGGAGTTGTAGTGATTTTTAATATATTTATTTTTACTTTTTGCAGCACAAGGTAATCTGTTTAAAAATAAATTAAAATATAACAAAATGGTGGATTACCGTAAATGATTTAGACTTTAATCGAGTACCATGCCTATAAGCTTTCATTGAACTCACTTGGAATTGACTTATTAATTGAGATGGATATGATTTTCTTAGATTTACTCCCTCACTTTTAAAATAAATGTCACTTTTGAAGAATCGTGATTCACAATTTGAGTCACGATTTCTCAAAAGATACATTCTTTTAAGGACCAAGTAAATATTTGGCAACCAATTTTATTTCATATTTTGTTATTGTAATTTGAATTCCAGAATTTGTATTTGCCACTAATAAATTTGAATCGAGGTTAAACTAAAATTTTTAAACTAACAAACTTTAAGTTTAGATTGGTTAGGGATGGCAATTTCCTCCGATCCGGTGGGTTTTTGCCCCGTTTTCGCCTAAGGTGTGGATTTAGTGGCCTCTAAATGGGTTTGGAACGAGTATGATAAAATAATTGAAAATTCGAAACTGGTTTGGAATGGGGCAAATTTAGTGATAACTCCGCCGCCTGATTATATATGTACCTTTTAATTATTTATATACATAAAATATTTTTAAGACTCTTATTACTTTGTTGGAAGTGCTATTAATATAATAATATTCACTACTTAGTAATTTTAAAGTTGGGCCAACTTATTTATCAGTCAAATTTGAACACATTGGTCTAATTTTTTTTTTTTTTTTTACTACATAATATAAGTGGCATATTCCGTCCCGTCACACCCCACAATTAAGCAGAGTAAATGGGGCGGAATCGATATTTTATTTATTGAATTAGGTTGAAAATGGTAGGACAATTACAAATTCATTTTAAAGTAAAGTAGGAGACGAATTGGTATTATAAGTTTTCTAACGAGGAGGGAATAAGGTTGGTTCCCATTCCTAGATTTAGTTGCTCAATTGAAAATAAAAAAGAAAAAGAAAATGTAAATTCCGTTTTAGATCAAGCCAAACAACCGAAAAAACATAGAAGGGGAAAATTGTTTGCTACGCGTGTGTTTTGACCGTACGCGTGTGAAATCACCGTACTTTAAAAATTGTTTGCGTAACAATTACGTACGGTTGTACGTTTTAACTTTTCACTTCTTTATTTATTATAGTTTGACTGACGGACACAGTTATTTTACAAAAATACCCCCGCAATCAAATAAAGGGTTTGCCGAATTACAATCAGAAAAGACACATATTAATCCTGTTATATTCAGGATTCCAATTGCCCCAAATGTTTCTCCTTTCCTATATGCGTAGCGTATGATCTAAGCGGGTTTGTATAAACACTCTTCCCATCTCTCTCTAAAATCACACACAGTCAGAAAACGCGCACAATCAGAGAAAACACAAACAGATTTAAAAGAAACCTTGTTTTGGGTATTCTGAATTCTTCTGATTATAAGACGATGGGGGGTGGAGATGGGTTCTTGGATCTGCTACAGAACTTGGGTCGAGAAGAGATGATGGAGGTTTTGTCTGATGATGGTGGGTTTTGTCAACACTGTCAAGCTCTGTTGCGGACTCGTATTCAGAATCAGATTAATAACAGTAAGGAAAACAAAAATCTCTCTTTTTTCTCTCTAGATTAGATTTTGATTTGATTTTTGTTGTGTTTATAATACACTTATAGCAACTTTTAGGGTTTTTTTTTTTTTTTTTTGTGTGGTCCTTTTTGGGTTTTTTTTGGGTAAGTTTGTCGTTATTGGTCTTGATATCATTTGATGGCTGTTTTTTTCTTTTAATAGAAATTTTCTAGAATTTGAGGAGGCACGTTGATGTGTTTATAATCAACTATCTTTTTAGGGTTTTTTTTTTTTTTTTTTTTGGGGTATATTTTTCAGTATTGGTTTTGAAGAAATGTTCTTATTTCTGTATCTAGATTGAATTTAATAAATATCTAGATTGAATTTATTTTATTGAGTTCTGCAGCAAAAATATACGTTATTTTGGCTTTTATTTAAGTATTCCAAAATTGCAGTAATAGTTGGATCTGTCAGATGTTGTTCTTACGACTATGGGTTTATAATCAGCTTAGAGCAACTAATTGGTTTTGATATAATTTGATGGTGTTTCTTTGAGAGGCAGAAACTATTGGAAATAAACATTAGCCCATCACTGGATTCATAAAAAAATGAGAAAAAGTTATACTCTAAAAGAATTTTATTCTAAAAAAAGTTTCATAAATAATGTTTCATCTCAACAAATAAACCCTAGGTTTTCCTCAAATTTTGATATAATACTGCTATATGAACCGTCCTCTGGGCTGTCCTTGAATTTCCATTAGCATAGATAAATAATTTTATAGCATGGCCTTACAGTCTTTTTTATACATTAATGCACTACTTTACTTTTACTTGCATTTTCTTTACATAAACCTTTTTTTTTTTCCCCTTTCCATTGCAGGAAAACTAAGAGAATTATCAGTAAATGGTAGCTCTGCAGGTTCTAAAATTTCAGAACCTTCTGCTAGGAAACCGTCGTCGAGCTCCATCCAAACCTCAGATTCTGAAATATCAGTGAATGATGGAGTTTCCTCTTTGGATGACATTGGGTTATTAGGGGAGCAAAACGAGCATGTCAGGTTCGCAGAAGTTGGCAGGAAGAAGAATTTTAATTATGTTGAGAGAATCTATGGGAAGCCAACGAATTTGCTTCAAGGGCTTGAGCTACACACTCGCGTTTTTAATGCTGAGGAGCAGCAGAAGATTGTTGAATGTGTCTACCAGTTTCAACGCATGGGACGGAAGGGTCAACTGAGAGGTATGATGCTAGTTCCCTTTCTCTCTCCCCTTTGTTGTCTAATTTTTTTTTTTTCTAACTTGATCTGAGTTTCTGGAAGTACAAATGCTAAAATAGCTGTCCTTAAAAAATGCTTAATTGTTCCTTTAATCCTTGTTTGTTGCATTATGACTCTGTTTCTTAAACTTAGATTCTTATGGTCTTGCATTGCATTACTGGTTTCTTTTCTACAAGACAAAAGCATGCCTGGACTATCACAAATAATATTAATTGCTTCTAAATAATTTCATAGAAATTTACATTCAATTTTGAGTATGAATTTTATATTCAATATAATATAAACTTACAATTCCTCCAAAACCAACAGTTAACTTCTTGTTATACTTTTCCTTCTACTTAGTCAATTTTGAGTATATATGCTATTTGAACTGCTAAAGAATATGTCAATGGAGTATATATTTAACATTCTATCGGTTTATCTTGTCATTCTTACAGCACGAACATATTCAGAACCAAGAAAGTGGATGCGAGGCAAAGGGCGGATCACAATTCAATTTGGTTGCTGTTATAACTATGCAGTGGTAATGTTTTGTCCTTGTTCCTTTCTTTTCTTCTACTATTTGTACTCTTGAGTTGTACCAACACTTCTGTATACTTTTTCCTATTTAACAGGACAAAAATGGGAATCCCCCTGGTATTCTTAGACAAGGAGATGTTGATCCTATACCCCTTCTGTTCAAGCAAATGATCAAACGGATGGTTAGGTGGCACGTTCTGCCTCCAACTTGTGTCCCTAACAGCTGCATTGTGAATATCTATGGTGAAGGGGACTGCATTCCTCCTCACATTGACCATCACGATTTCCTGCGGCCTTTTTGCACAGTATCATTCTTAACAGAGTGCAATATACTCTTTGGTTCAAATCTGAAGTCTAGTAGTCCGGGAGAGTTCGAGGGTCCTGTCTCAATACCTTTGCCTGTCGGGTATGCCTTCAGAATCTTCTCTCCTGCTAAATAATTAACTGTTCACCTTTCATGCATCCCCATGACTGCATTTTATACTTAAATTTTTTTTTTAGAACTTTATATTTCATTCTACTAATTCGGCCCCCTCGCTTAAAATTTATGGGTTTGCCCGACTGCATGTAGTTCTTTCTGTATAAAATCATTGCAATCTTAGTATGGAATTTTAGATTAGTTGATTTTGTTTCCTGCAACAATTGAAATGAGGCTGTTCATCACAATTGAAATGATGCTAGTTGTACCATGTTTTTCTGAAGATCTTTTTAAGTATTTTCAAGTGTGTCTGGAAGCATAATGGGATGATTTTGTGCCCTTCCAAATATGTCTTTGTGCACATCTGTATTGGAAGATTCCCGGTCTTCTGGTGCCCTAATGTCCCTTTAGAACGTTGTGCACATGTATCTATGTTTGTGCTATAATTTTCTCCCTTATGGGGTTCAAATGCTCTAAATAATATGGATCGAGTCTGTGCCTATGCATTTGTGGGGTCTGTAATTAGGCAATTTGGTGCTGATATGTGATTTGGTTGTGGAAGTAGGTCACATTTATGTACTACAAAATTTGATTATTTACTTTCCAAGGTGATATATCCTTGAAACTCAGGACTGTTTCGGTGTGGGGTTAGTGGATCTGTTGTCTCATTTGAGCAGATAGCATTAATTTAATTTCTTGATGAAGTCTCATAGGGACATCTGTATGACTTCATTTCACAGTTCTCTCTATATTGATGTCCTATTGTTTGATTAGGTGTATATAATAGATCTGTGCATTGTGGTTGTCTGTAGCTTCACCCCCTATCCTTTCTGTTATTGGCTTCTGATAATAATCCATCTTTCTTGCAGATCGGTGCTTATTCTAAGTGGCAACGGAGCCGACATTGCTAAGCATTGTGTTTCCGGAGTTGAAAGAAGAAGGTATTGTTACTTTGTTACATAGAATTAGATTATTATTATTATTATTTTTTTTATTTTTTATTTTTTCATTTAAACTGCATGAATGAGCATTTCTTATATATCACTTTCTTTGTTGCAGGATTTCCATCACTTTTCGGAAAATGGATGAGAGCAAATTACCATACAATTACTTGCCTGAGCCAGAGCTTCAGGGAATAAAGCCTCTTGTGTACTCTCCCTTGTCCAAGTCACCTGTTCAACAGAACCAACAAGAAAATTTCAAGTTCCCTGCTCAACGAAACCAGCATGAAAATTTCAGGTCACATGTCCAACAAAACCAACATGAGAATAAAAAAATCAACGATAACAAACCTGGAGGTGCTGCAGAGACGAGCAATAACTTATTCGCCATGCAGAAAGATGATTTCCCTCCTCTTGGGAGCTTGAGTTCTGTGAACCGGCAGAGGACGCAGCAAAACAATTTTAAGCGATAATCTTTATGACAGCATATGTAATTCATGCAATCGATAGATTAACTCTTGTATACTTGCACAGAAATTCTTTGTCCAACAGCTTTTATGATATTGATTCAGTTAAGTTGTATACTTGTATTCAACTGAAGAAATAATCTTACAAATATATATCAGAACTTCATCCTTCTCTCTAGTCTTCTTGTGGTGTTTTGACTAGCTATCATATTCATAGTTTTATGCGTCAGCTTTGGCAGATATGGTAATTTTTTTTGGAAGCCTAAAATAATTCTTGGAATGTAACTTTGTGGTTTGAAGTGAATCCTCTTCTTTCAAGATCATGTAATTATTGTTCAAGTTGTTTAGGGAGGGAACGACTAGGGGTCATGGCCCCTCCAAAACTTTTTAATAATTTATTAGACCTCCTATAAATTATTAATTTTAAATAAATCTCACTTGTGGTCCCAAAATTCATAAAATATTTCAATTGCACCCCTCAAATATCTATATAACAAGAAAACTTATTTATTGACCTCAATTATGCGGTAGTCTGGATTCTTAGTCTTGGGCCTTGTATATCCTTTAAAGGATGAGTTGAAATTGGATATCGTCATGTTCGGTGGTCTTGTGACCATTCTTCTTTTAGGCTTTGGAGCTCTGTGTAGCGGTGTAATGTGGACTGATGTCGGTTTTGAGCTAGGTTTAGAATCCAATGGTTTTTGTGATAGGACGTTGTGTGACTAGGGCTGCAAATGAACCCTGGCCCGGCTCGTTAAAAGCTTAGTTTGGGCTTGTTCGTGAAGTAAACGAGCCGAGCTTGAACATATTTTTTAGGCTCGTTTAATAAACAAGCCGAGCTTGAGCAACGCTAAACTCGGCTCGTTAGGCTCTTGAACAGGCTCGTTTAGCAAAATGATTAATTTTATTTTATACTATTATACAAATGTGTGGCCCATTTAATATAAAGTCAATCTAAATACATATCATTAGCCCAATTTTATTTTACTTTAAGCCCAACTCACCTTAAGCCCAACTTTACTTAACCTATTACCCTATCATCATTATATATAGGGCTGTTCACCTGTTCACTGGTGTGCAAGGAATTTATACACGAATTAAATCTTAACCATTAAATATAAAAAATAAACTACCTTATATATATCTATCTATCTTTATATCAAGCGTTGGTTTTTCTGACTAATTTCATTTTCATTACAGCAGCTGCAACATCGCTTCTTCCTTTCTAGCATGCCGTCACAACATCGTTTCTTCCTCTCTAGCACGTCGTCGACTGTCTCCAACAAATCTCTGTAATATTTGCTATGAAACCCTAAACAAATCTTGCAACATCACTCTTTTAATCCCATCCCTTTCAACATCGATACAACATCGAGGAGGGTTTCCAATAGATCTCTCTCTCAAATCTCTCTTTGGGTTTTGATGTTTCAATCCCATTTTAGTGTTGGGGAGATCAGAAGAATGATCGAAAAGCTCTTTTGATCCATTGTCAAACAGTGTTAGATCTAAAGTTTTTTTTTTTTTTTTTTTGGCTTGAAGGCGAGCTCGAGCCTAGTTTGGCCAAGCTCGGTCGAGCCCAAGCTCGAGCACCCTCATGAAACTGACGAGCCGAGCCCGAGCAAGGTAAAGCTCGACTCGGCTCGGCTCATTTGCAGCCCTATGTGTGACGTGTGTTGCTAATTGCAGTGGTGTGTGATTGCCTATTGACATCCAGTGCCAAAGACACTAAAGTCTATGAGCTGGTAGTCTTACGGGTTGTGGGCCTCTTCTTAAGGAAGGTAGATTTCGAGGGTGAAATCACTTTAAGGAGAGTAGATTGTAATATCCCGAATTTTTCTGAATTTTTTTCAAATTTCTATTTTATTTACTTTTGGCACCTCGTTTTGCTTGCCACACTAGCTTGACGGCCTTTTTGGTCATTTTCTTGAGTGAAGGATTTTGGAAGTATGTTATTTATTTATTTTAAGTTAATTAATTTAGATGTAGTTTCTTTACTTATACAAATTTATTGAGATAGGGGTGCTTTTAATAGGGGAAGAAATTAACTTGTCAGCATGTTCACGTTTGTTTTGACAGTGAACTACATTCCCAATTTAGGGCTGCAAATGAACCGAGCCAAGCTGATTTTTGGCTTTCTCGGGCTTGGCTCGGTGTTCAGGCGAGCTTAGGGTAGCCAAACTCAAGCTCGGTTCGGTAGAGATTCGACAAGCTCGGACTTGGCTCCATCCGCATAAAATATTTTTCTAAGAATTTTTTTTTTCCAGGTAAAATATATATAATACGACAACCAAACACTAGAAATTACATAAAAAAATATTTTACGCAAGCCTAAACCCGATCTATAATAGTTAAGGGAGTAAGCCTGAAGTCGAGAGCTGTTAGATGGGGGAGTCGCAAAGCCAAAGATGGTTTTCAATTGGTTCTCGGTAGAGTGAGAGCGTTTGAGCCTGAGTTGAAGTCCATTATACTTTGCTTCAAACATAATGGATTGTTTCACTCGAAACCGCGTGACACTCTCCAAGGTATTTCCAATTTGTTGGATGATTTCTCCAACTAGATTTTCTCGCTACAAACATGGTGTCTCTCAAACTCTACTAGAATTTATTTTTGCTTTGTGATCGATTAATTTAACTTTTATTGGGTAAATTCACTCTATGCAAAAAACCTAACACTTATTCACAATTTTTTTCAAACTAAATTCTACAACCTATTTCACTGCCCAACTCACAATATGATGTAAATACCATATATATATATATACAATCTTCAAACAAGGGGCAATAAGTTTCGTTGATACTCATGAGAACTATCTGATGAACATATGATGAATAATTGTGAAAATAATCGCAAACAATATATGCAACTGTGGTACCTCGGTTAAGGAATAATCTAATGCATTACAGTTCCATAGTTGCACATAGGCCTAACATGTGTGTATCACAACTAACAGTATAATTTTTCTCAGTTATAAAAAGACTATTGATTTTTTTTTTAGAATTTTGTTAAAGGTCAAAATAGAATTGGATTGTGCTGATTCAATACTTATCTCAATTTAGTCATTAACATCTTATCCCTATTTTTTCATGATTTTGAGAGAGTGAGAGTACACAATTTCTATTTATTAATTTTTTAGCTAAAGTAAAGTACATTAATGTTATGTTTGGTTGGAGAGAATGATTGATGAGGGATGATGGGTGAGAGGCGATTTAATGACTATTTTTTTGTGTTTGGCTGAAGGGAAGGAAAGGGAAGGGAAGGAAGGAGGGATAAAGTCCTTTGTGTTTTTTTTATGTATCCAAAATTGGAGGGAAGAGGAGAGAGAAAGAAACATAGTAACCAATGGTGTTGCATTTGCACAACTTTAATTTTTTGGTGAAATTTGCACAACTTATTAGTTCAGAAATCTCAATGGTGTTGCAAAATTTGAAATAGATATCTAATTTTTATAATTTTATATAATGAAGAAATATTAGTAAAAATAATATAAAAACTCCTCCTTTTTAACCAAAAAAGAAAAAAACACTATCTACCATAATTATTCTATTTTAATTCTATAATTATATATGAAAACAATTACAAATGTTTTATCCTTATAAATAGATACTATCTACCATACTTCCGTGAATACTCCCGAGTGTATGGTTGTGAGGGTGATAGTGCTATACTTGGAAGAATATCTTCTTTGAGATATTATTATATACTATTTTATGTATTGAGTTTGGAGCAGTCTTGAAACAAGGTTAGTATACTCTTGTCTACTGAGGCTTGAACTCCTGACCTTCTTTTAAAAAGTAAGGTCTTGGTACCACTGAGCCACTGGTATTTATTTATTGACTATTTTGTAATGCTATACATTCATCCGCCCTTGATTTGGACATCTTATTGTGTTTTTTAATTCTAAGCTCTTCGTGAGATATTCATGTTATTCAAATTAATGTATTTTTGGAAGAGTATTTCATCATCTAAATTCAATTTGAAAAGAGGCTTGAAGTGGAGGGTTGCCAATGGTTAGAAAATTCAAATTTGGGAAGATAACTTGCTTTCGGAGCTTATTATTACTGCAGTATCTCCAGCTCACTCTCAACAAAGGATTCATATCGTGGCTGATTTGATTGATCACCACACTAAGATGTGGAGGACAGAGGATATTGAGCGAGTGTTTAATTGTAGAGATTCAAGTCTGATTTTGCAGGTTCCTTTACAGCGATTGGGTGGTGACGATTGCAAGGTTTGGGATCGCACTGGTGATGGGAAATTTTCAGTCAAGCCCGCCTATCAATTGGTTGTTGAGGAGTGTCAACAACCTACAGTTCAAGCAATTCACCTTCCAATACTGTTATTTGGAGTAGTATTTGGAAACTCCAAATTCCTAGGAAGATCCAATTTTTTCTCTGGCAATGTTGCCACGGAAAAATGCCAGTTTATTCAATTTTGAAGAGGGGGGGTTTAATAGAGCATGCCTTATGTCCTGTGTGTGGGATGGAAGAGGAAACCATTTGTCATATGTTATTTTTCTGTCATTCGACAAAGGTGGTTTGGAGTCTCAGCCCTTTGCGATTGCAGGTCCCAAGTGATTGTTCCACGTGGCATTTATGACTGGCATTTGGTGGACGTGGAAAGTGATTGTCAATCTATCGTAAGGTTTAACCCTGTTGTCTCTCTTACCATGACTGTACTTGAAGATATCCAAGTGACGTTAAAGGAAAATATAGATTTGGCTCTTGTTTGGACTTCTAGATCATGTAACAAGGTTGCTCACCGGTGAACAAATGGGCTTGAAGTCAAAAGTGTAGTGATCTGCAATGGCAGATTTGGCCTCATTGGCTTACTGATGTAATACTTGAGGATTTATCTTCTTCTTCTTAATAAAGTGCTTTAATTTGGGGGGGAAAAAAATGATGTATTTTTCATTTTAATGAAAGTATTGTGATTCCATATTGAAATATTATTCATTGATGCATTGTTCATTGTTTTGAAGAATTGTGTATAAATAAAAGTTTGAAATTTTGTTCTCGGTATTTTTAGAAAATTTGTTTTTGTTCTTGGTATTTTTAGAAAATTTGTGCTGATTCCCCAACACAAATTAGGAATAAAACGGAACTCGAAATAGAATTTTTTTGTACTATTTTCTCTGAAAATAAAAAAATTATTTTCATAGTTACAAATCAGACCCTAAGTCATTTAAGAAACCAAGCAAAGGAACCCCCAAAAAACCTCAAATAGACAAAGATCAATTCCATTCCATTTTGTAGAGCACTCAAATTTCCATTTTCTTTAAAAGTGAGGTTTATTTGTACCTTTCAGACTAAGAACAACCAAAACAAGTAGCTATTTTAAGCAGAAACAAAATTAAACTGTGATAACTCACCAGAAAAACAAAGTAACCAAAAGGAACCAAAGAAACCGACCGGAACAAAGCTAAAGATAAAAGCATCAATCAAGAAGGAAACGCAGAATTTGGCTGAAGGATCAAAGCAGTTTCATTCAGCTAAGAACAGAGCTATGACAGGGAGCACTGAAGCAGCAAAGATCGGGTAGGAAAGAAAGATGGAAGCTCAAGAAATGCCAACACAGAAATTAAGGAATGCATTGAGTAGAAGAAGAATAGAAGATGCTAGCTAGAGAGACAGACACCGAAGAGTCCATTTAGGATTGCCGTTAGATCACCTAAACACTGCCACATGTTCGGTTAAGTGTACGGATAAACTAATGTGATAACACATGTATTTGTAAGTTTGATAACTCATGGATATTTCTTGAGGTTGTTCTACCCAAATCATCATCACCATAATGATAATAGATATACAAATTCCAAACATGGAAATAAAATCTCACATACCGGTATAAATGGTACAGATTGGTTGATTAAACTCTGCTCACAGCTCTACAAAAAAAATTCCAAATCCCCTTCTGAAGTTGATCTATATAACTATATATGGGGGTATCATGGTGTGAATGAACAAAATTAGAAACACAACCTCAATGGATCAATCTCAGCTTCACATGATTAGGGTTTTACTAGAAGTATATTGCCACATAAACACACGCTATGATTACCCTTGTGTAATGGCCATCAAAGTGTGTATATATATAATATAGGAACTGACTTTGGCTAGGGTTTCAGAATTGACTTTGGAATCCTTAGGTTTGAAACTTTGACATGGTTGAAACTTTAGAGTTAGCTATAAGGGTATCACAACTATCATTCGGGAAAAAAAAAAAACTTTCATTAGATTCAAACGACCATTAAAAAAAAAAATTTCCTACGGTTTCTAAGACACAAAAAGGTCCCACTTGAAAATTTGAAATTGTAATTTATTCCAATAAAGTTCTTGCATAATTAATAGTAAAAAAACAAAAAAACACAAAAAAAACTAAAACTAAAAAAATATTTAAAAATCTTGTCATTTACATCTCCTTCAACCGATATAAACTCTCCACATGCTTAGTGATGCATAGATTTGACAATGTATCATACCCAAAGTATGAACGCACCCAGGCCCTCCTCAATGCTTTAGTTTCCAGATTATAATAAAACAATTCTGATGTAGCACATCGAAATAAAATCTCACCGGTATGAATGGTACCAACTGGTATAAAACAATGCACCACGTCACAACTTGGACAATATCGTGGTACGACGAGACTTTGCCTACTCCATAGTTGCTTCTCGTAGTCTTCTAATATCCAAATTGCTGAAATCCTACCATCTATCAGAGCCAGATGTTCATTTACTTGTATCACAAAACAAGTCTCAGTATTAGCACCATCCGGAAGTCGAATGATCCTGAACTTCTCGCTTCCTACCTCAAAAGCAATTATCACATCCTTGGAGTCACCCTTAGATGTAATATATATAACATCAGCAATGCAATAACCCTTGGCATAAGCCATATATAGCTGGGGTATGTCTAATCGAAGCTCGGAAGTATCAATCTCTCTCCACAAGTTTGTGCCGAGCGTCAGAATCTTGAACTGAACTTGAGCATGCTCACTAGCATTCGAAAAGAGTCGACACAAGGCGAGAACCTTGTATTTACTGGTGGAAGGATCCAATCCTAGGAAGAATTTCGTGGAGACATCCACCGGAGTAGTGACTTTAGTTGTAGTAACATCACAAGGTACATTCACCCTTAGACGTGGAAGGGTTTTGAATTCTCTGGTGCTAGGATTGTATATGGAATTCTCGATACAGACCAAGCCATTAATGGACTGAAAGGGAGTAGAGATTTCTTTATCTAGTAGTGTTAGTATGTAAGAGGCTAAGCCTCCTTCTGGATGTAGAGAGTATAAACAAGAATTCTGTTTCTCATACCGAAGAAGAAGGTTGATAGCTTCAGGACGAGTATGGGATTGAATATGGTGTATTTGAACGAAAAGTGGATCGTCAATTATGGAGCACCAGAGCTTCGAAACGCACCTTAATGTTAATAAATTTTTGACTGGAAAATCTTTGAGTATTCTGAAGATGATATCTCTTGGAATATTGCAGAACTCATCAACCACCTTTTGGCTTGACTCCATCTTATTAGCTTGACTAGATTTTTCTGGATCTTCTTCGACTCTAGAGCACTTTTCTAAAGCCTCTTTCGCGCCTTGACTAATATCAGGGAATTGTTTTCCTCGTGGATCATGGAATTGTTTCAATCACTTGCTCAAAGAGGAAAATAATATGTTGGGAAATCCGTTCCCAAGGCAGCTAGGGCTAATATTATGTAACAATATATATGTGTGTGTATATATATATATAGATGCATTGGAGTCGGTTGATACATATGGTAAGTATTAGCGTCTGACTGATTACCTATATTTAGTATTGTACAAATATTTACCGTGTAGAATTAAGAGTTGGAAATTATATATACTATTCATCCCTTTTAGGAAATTATATAAAAAATACTTAATATGGATCATAGAATTTATTTCATTCTAAAACTTTCTTTTCCACTTTTTATTAAAACTCATCATTTCTAGTCTTGTCTCACTTTCCCAATTTTTTTCAATACACTAGTCATACTTATTAATTATTGAATACATATCTGATAAATGTAGAAATTGATAAAAACTTTCTAAATTTTCCTATTAAGTTTTATTTTAATTGTTTTTCCCTTTTCCCTCGGGGCTTTTCCTCCTCGCATTACAATGTTATTTTTTTATCCTCCACTCATAATCTCATTATAGAACTCTCCATCGCCCTACTCTTTTCTCTTCTCCACTCATTACAATCTCACTCCATTTAAACTCATTTTTATTTTCACACACATATCGGTTTGAAGGTAGCAATTTTTTATTCTAGTGCCATAAATTTATTGGAAGCAACAAAATAAGAATAAAAGGATTGAAAATTTTGTTCGAGCATTGACCGGATTTTCTTAACATTAGGTTATCTTGTTCTTTAACTTAAATTATTTGGTAGTCTTGTTGTTTTTTATTATCATAAAACTGCATATGTTGTTTGTGGCCATTTTTATTCATATTATTGAGCTTTGCATCTCAAAAAGTAAGAAGAATGATTTATAAATAAAAATTATTAATTATTATTTGATATTAATATATTATAAATTAAAAAGTTAATTTTATATTTTTGCCTAATACCTCAAGTTATATTGAGTGACCTTTTCTATATGTCTCTATATTATTTACCTTAATAAGTTCAATTCATTTCACTGGTACAGGGTTGTTGTTGTTGTTTTTATTGTTTATTGTTTTTTTTTTTTTTGCCTCAAACCCTTGCATTCCTAGGCATTTTCTTTTATCATATGCCTTGAATCCCTTGCTCTTACTAAACTTCCCACAAGAGGAAGTAAAGGTCCATTTTGGTTCAGTTTTCTAATGCTCCATTTGGTAGGATGGAAGAAATTTGGATGAAAGGGAGAGAAGAATAGATAAATGAAATATCCATAGGAAAGAGATTATGTCCTTCCATTTTTTTGTTTTGTTGGATAGAAGAGAAGAGAATATTACAATACCTGTTTCACGAGAGAAGAAAAGAAATGTGTTAATTATAAGGAAAATTTTGTAATTTAAAAATGTTTATAATAGCCTTGTTTTTCTTTTTTCGTATCTTCCGCCCATATTTAGAGGAATAAAAATTTGTGAACGAGAAAGGATGACTCATCCATCATCTTTTCTCTTATCTCCTTGCCTCCTCTCTACCAAACGAAGGACATTTGTTCCTTTCTTCTTATGAATCCTATATTCCATCCACCCCTCATCCTTCCTACCAAACGGAATTATTAGTGAAACTTGTTTTATAGTTAATGGAAAATAAATTTTTTTGAACTTTTTTTAAAAAAACTAAACCAATTAGCAAGCCTCAGATCTTCCTCCTTTTCTACACTTTCCTAAGGATGTCTTTGGGAGAGCCTTCTTGGAGCTTTAGAAGTGTGTTTTGCAATATCCTATTGAAGCTCTATGTATGAACTTTTTTTTCCTCTCCAATTTGAATTTAGATCCCTTCATTTTACAAACTGGATTTTCTCTTCTAGTTTTTTTTTTCTTCTAAACTATTAGAACATTTTGAATTTTTTTCAATAACTATTCAGTACATGAAAAATGTATTTTTACAAGGTGTAAAAAATCTTGTAAATTCTTTTTATAAGGTTAAATTGCATGCGGTAGCAAGCCATGCGATAAATATTAGTCTTTATTTACCAGATTAAAAAATACTTGTAAATAACCATTAATCAAATCAGATTTGAGCAACCTAGGGACTTAATCTACACGTGTGTACCGGCAATTTCAGATTTGAGCAACCTAGGGAGTCCGAAAATCTTGACCCATTTTGAGGGTTTGAGGTGAAATTTGGGGGTTTTGCATATAATTGAGGTAGGGGTTCTAATTCACATGTTCTTGGGCCTTTTTGTGAATGACTCTATTTAATTGATGTTTAGCATGCTCAATTCATAGAAAATTTATTGCTTTATTATATTTATATATATTGTGTCAAGGTTGTGACTTTGTGTTGCTTGATATATATGATAATGAAGCATGTAAATTGTTGATTAATTCAAGCTTTTTGTGCCTTTAGTGCTAGTTTGGTGATTAGAAAGCATGAAATATAAGTTTAGAAATTTTTATGTTGTAGAACATGTCCAAATATTAAATTTGCATGCCTATTATGATCAATTTGCTAGAAATTGCTATATGGAAGTGTGTTGATTTGTGACATAGGAAAATCTTATGTTGATTTGTGAATTGTAAAAATCCTTCATTTGACATGGCATTGGGAAGCATGAGACATTCATGCATATCATTGGGAAAGAATGGAAAAAATTGATTTGAAAGAAATGATATAGATTTTTGGGAAAGAATTTTAAAAAGAATTTTGTGAAAAAAAAAACCGGCCGCCTAGGAGTTGCCTAGGGACCGCGGCGTTAGTGAGGCCTAGAGGGGACTAGGGAGATCGCCTTAGTATGGTTAACTTACCTGGGCCCTAAATGATGCTATGGAGATGCCATGGGTCAGGGATAGTGGCCAATCCTCCTCTCGTGCTGCCATGGGACGGGTTCACTAACGGTTTGGAAATGATAATGGAAATGGTTTTGGGAAAATGGGGAGTGACATTGTAAGGTACGGCATCTCAGTGCATGGCATATTTATTTGTGGTATTAGATTAATGATGTGGTATCGTAGTTATACTTTTGCTCCCGGCATGGTATGATCTCAATTTCCTTATTCCTATTCATTGTGTGGATTCACGGGGTCTCAAGAGGTGTGCCTTAGGCACTACCTACTGAGCAATTTTGCTCACCTCTATTATTTAACATTTTTCAGGGCTCGAAAATGAAGTGGCGGATGACAATCCCCCGCAAGTTTGAAGAAGATTAGGAGTTGTATTTTGTTTTATTTTGTATCTTAGCCCATTTTTTTTTTTTTTTTTTTTTGTATTGTCTCAAACTATGTAAAAGATTATTTATTCTTGCAAATCATGACCCTGGAACATACTAGGATACTTGATTATTTTTGTTGTAAACTGAGACCATGTAAATGCTTAAGTTGAGGGGATGACGATAATGGGCTAATTTGGGAAGGTTGTTGATGTTGTGGTATTGAGGAATGCATTATATTTCTTTTGTATTGTGTGTTGGGTAGGTTGGATAGGTCTTGAAAGGTCGTTGTTTTTTTTTTTTTTTTTTTTTTTCATTTGAACAGGTTGTTGTACAACCATTTTTAGGGGAGGTCATGTCGAAATTTTTATTTTTTATTTTTTAATTATTTTCGGTATTCAGTTTAGGGTCGTTATAAATTTGGTATCAGAGCCTTGGTTCGAAAACCATTAGGACGATGGGTAAAGGCCTACATAGGGGTTGCATGGGAAGTCATTCACATAGTTTATGTGATTAATTGGTAAAGTGTTTTGCTATGTGCAAAAGCATGCTTAACTGTTTACTTGTTTACATGTTTACGTGCTTATATGCCTATATTAATGTGTTCATTGCCTAGTCTTGCATGTTAAGTGTTAGTATAGCATCATTTTATGTTGAGTTGTTCACGGTTAGACCTTAGTGTTATTGTTATTGAATCATTTTATTTGTTTTTCAGCACGATGTCACGGCGTGAGGAAACCAGGGAAGTTGGCCTTTGACCGACTAGGGGTGATGTTGGTGAAAGCTCCAGCTCCAATCCGGAGGAGCTAAATGATGAGGACACACTTCTTAGGGACTTGATTCCCCCGAGAGTTGTCCCCACAAGGAGGGATAATGTTGAAGCACCCGTAGAAGTGGGTGAAGGTTCTGTGGCACTAGAGTTGAATCGTTTGTTGCAAAATGCCGTGAGGGCAACGATTGCTTCTCAGTCGCAGTCGGCACCGCAACCTACAGTTCAAGTTGAGGAGACGCCAGTTCAGAAGCGTCTCAAGATCATTAAGGGGTTTTCTCAGCTGATGCCGGTTATGTTTGAGGGTGGTGCGGATCCAATAGTAGCAGACGACTACATGGATCAAGTTAAGATACAGTTGACCTCAATGGATGTGACAGAGGATCACCTGAAGATCATCCTAGCAACTTACAAGTTTGCTAAGGATGCCAAACTTTGGTGGAAGATGGTTACGAATCGGCATAAGGTGGAAGAGATGAGTTGGGACAAGTTCAAGGAACTATTTTACGAGAAGTATTTTCTGCTTTCTAAAAGATGGGAGTTAAAAGACTAGTTTCTTGGCCTTATTGAAGGCAATATGTCAATGGCGGAGTATGAGAACAAGTTCACTTCACTTTCTCGCTTTGCTCCGGAAATGGTAAGAGATGAAGTTGACAAGACTCAGAAATTTGTTTCCGGTCTTAATGATAGAATGAGGCCATTGATAACGGCACAGTTTATTAAAGTTTATTCTGAGGCAGTAGAGAGGGCCTTGATGTTTGAGGCTGATATTAAAAATACGGATGCAAGAAGGGAGCAGTGGAAGCAAAAGAGGAATGCATGGTCATTTTCAGAGGGACCTTCAGGGAAGAGGAACAGGGGTGGTTCATCTCAGTTTCAGGGGTAGCAGTCAGTACGATCCGCTCCTACCACTCCTATGCCAGTAGGGTTTGCCAGGAGTGGTGTCATTTGTTATCGTTGTAATCAGCCGGGTCACTACAAGTCAGAGTGTCCACAGACATCGGTTAATTCTGGGGCTTGTTTTGGTTGTGGCCAACAGGGCCATAAGGTTAAGAATTGTCCTAATCAGGGAGCAGGCACCGGTAGTGGAAGAGGGTCACAGCAGAGGCCGTCACAGTCGGCTACGGTTCAGTCAGGTTTCAGACCACCACCATCACAACCTGCCATGTCCTCTCAGAGTTCACGGCCAGTTAGGAGGGATACTCCTACTATGTCAGTACAACAGTCAGGTGTTCAGGTTGGCAGTTCTCAGGCACAGGCACCACAGGGACGTGTCTTTGCACTTGCATCGACTGATGCATCTCTTGGATCTTCAGTTCTCTGAGGTATATTTCTAGTGTTTGGTTCTTGGACCCATGTTTTGTTTGATTTTGGTGCATCTCATTCTTTCATTTCATCATTATTTGCACTTGCATCGGGGTTAGAGATTAGTTTCATGGATCGGGCGTTATGTGTTGATACGCCTATTGGGGTTTCAGTGTCTTTGAGTCGAGTTGTACGGGATTGTTCCATTGTGATAGCCGGGCAGACCTTTGTGTTCGACCTTATCCTCCTGAAGATGACTAGCTTTGATGTCATTCTTAGGATGGATTGGTTAGCTTCCTTTCGTGCCATAATCGATTGCTTTAGAGGTAGAGTCACAGTTTGCATTCCCGAGGGAGATTGTTTATTTTTCGTGGGAGATCGGAGTGATTCCCACATTTCATTGTTTTATGGGGTTCGTGGACGGAGTCGTGGTGATTACTTCTTAGCTAGTCTTCTAGCCGAAGAAGATGATGTTGTGGAAGAAGATTATCCTGCAGTTGTTCGTGATTTTCTGGATGTGTTTCCAGAGGATTTGACAGAGTTGCCTCCACACCGAGAAGTGGAGTTTACTATTGATTTGATGCCAGGTACCGCACCAATTTTTATGGTACCGTATCGTATGTCACCAGTTGAATTGGAAGAATTAAAGAGGCAACTTGATGATTTGAAGATGAAAGGTTTCATCCGACCGATTGTGTCACCGTGGGGAGTACCGGTCTTGTTTGCGAAGAAGAAAGATGTTTCTTTGAGGTTGTACATTGATTACCGGAAGTTGAATCATGCCATCATCAAGAATAAGTATCCTTTGCCAAGGATAAATGATTTGTTTGATCAGTTGAGAGGAGTCAGTTATTTTTCGAAGATTGACTTAAGGTCAGGCTACTATCAGTTACGGGTTAGGGATAAGGATATCCCAAAGACAACGTTCCATACACAGTATTGACACTATGAGTTCCTTGTTATGCCTTTTGGCTTGACTAATGCACCAGCGTCATTCATGGACTTGATAAACCGTGTCTTTCACGATTACTTGGACTAGTTTGTGGTAGTTTTCGTGGATGACATTCTTGTGTATTCACGATCTCGGGAGGAGCACGAGGTCCATTTGAGTATTGTTTTACAGATTTTGCGGGAGCACCGATTGTATGCCAAATATGAGAAATGTGAGTTTTGGCTACAGGAGGTGAAATTTTTGGCGCATGTTGTTTTAGAAGGTGAAGTGTCAGTAGATCTATCAAAGGTTGAAGATGTTTTGAATTGGGAGCAATCCAAGAATGTTTTTGAGATCCGGAGTTTCCTTGGCCTAGCGGGTTACCATCGAAAGTTTGTGAAGGATTTCTCCCGTTTGGCAGCGCCTCAGAAATGGATCAAGTTTATGTGAAATGAAGCCTGTGAGTCATCCTTTCAAGAGTCGAAGACAAGATTGACTACAGCTCCAGTGTTGGTGATACCTGAGCGTGGCTTGGGTTATGTGATTTATTGTGACGCTTCACGTGATGGTTTGGGATGTGTGTTGATGTAAGATGGTAGAGTAGTGGCTTATGGGTCTCGACAGTTGAAGACTCACGAGCTTAACTACCCTACTCATAATTTGGAGTTAGCGGCAGTCGTATTTGCTTTGAAGTGTTGGAGACATTACTTGTATAGTGAGAGATTCGAGGTGTACTCGGATCATAAAAGTCTCAAGTACCTTTTCTCCCAAAAGGACTTGAACAACAGACAGAGGCGATGGGTTGAATTCTTGGAAGACTACAATTTTGACTTGCAGTACCATCCGGGCAAGGCAAATGTGGTAGCAGATGCCTTAAGCCAGAAATCTCGTGGAACTTTGGTTAGTTTGGCCATCCGAAAATGGAAGATGCTTGAAGATCTGGCAGAAATGGGATTGTATTGTTTTGATGACGATGTTGACAGTGAGCCAACATTCTTGTTTAGTCTTATGGCTCAGCCTACTCTTGTTGTACGAGTGATTGAGTCACAGAGACGGACCCGGATTTAGATGCCATTCACGCTTTGATCTCCAGTGGTGAGACAGTGAAAGATTGGGCCTTGCATGCAGATGGGGGTCTGCGGTTCAGTGGTTTGTTGGTGGTTCCCACAGTTTGTCGTGAGGACGTCTTACGAGAGTTTCACACTTCTCGCTTTGCAGTTCATCCAGGTGGTACCAAGATGTATCACAATTTGAGACGTCAGTATTGATAGAATGGGATGAAGAACGATGTTGCATAGTTTGTGGCTAAGTGCCTTACCTGTCAACAGGTGAAGGTCGAGCATCAGAGACCAACTGGTTTGTTGTAACCATTGCCTGTAGCGCAGTGGAAATAGGAACATATTGCTATGGATTTTGTGACAGGTCTTCTAAGGTCACAGAGAGGCAATGAAGCCGTATGGGTCATCATTGACAGGTTGACCAAGACGGCTCACTTTTTGCCTATTAAGGCAACAGATAATGCAGAGAAGCTTGGTGTACTTTATGTGAAGGAGATTATAAGGTTGCATGGAGTTTCAGTAACTATTGTTTCAGATAGGGATGCCAAGTTCACTTCGAAGTTCTAGGAAGGACTTCAATCAACGTTTGATTCAGCGTTGTATCTTAGTACGACATTCCATCCACAAACAGACGGCCAGTCAGAGCGTACTATCCAAATCTTGGAGGATATGCTTCGGGCATGTGTGCTTGACTTGGGTGGTAGTTGGGAAGAACATCTACTGCTTATTGAGTTTGCCTACTGTGATGGCCCTGGTTTTCAAGCTAGTGCGTTCTGTGATGAACCGTAGTTTGATCCGATAACGGATCCGAAATGCGGAAGCGAAAATAGAAAACATGACTCTAAGAAGTCAAAGTGACCTTCCATGAGGTCGTGGAACTTAATGAGAACTGATACGGAAGTAAAAGATCAAAAATATAACAAATAAGCCCCCAGGGGTAAAATATTCATTTCTAAAAACTGTGGACTCGGGTGCCACTGAGTACACCGCTAGAATGACAACAAAAAACTAATCAAGATGGGCTTAAGAATCGCATGATTCGGAGTCCAGACAAAGGAGAAATGGCATGACAAAGAAAAACGAGCACTTAAAGCAAAAGGGTAAACTGGTAATTATCCAGGAAGATCCAGGTGCAGCCAAGCACACCGTTGGAAAGACAGCGAAAAATTAGTTAAGTTAAAAAAAAAGTCCACTTATTTTGGAGTCAGGACGAGGGAGAAACGAGTGTTTGAAGTTGAGACGTCGCGGCGGCCCGACGAAGGCTATGGTAGCCTCATGCGCGCCCGGCGCCCATGCCGGCGCGAGCGCCGGCGCCCAATGGCATGCCCATGTTGACAGCAAGGGTCCAAAGCATGTTTTCCAGAACTGAGGCTTGAAACGGAGGCCAAAACGAACTTTTCTGGAAAAACACAAAGAAGAAACCCCCCTTAAAATCGAGTTTTCTACCTGACCATGTGAAAGGAACCAAAAAAACTCACTATAATATCCCCAAAATGCCCCTAGATCAGAACTGACAAGAGGGCAAAAAGCTGCTACAGGATTTGAGATCGAAAACGGGCTACCAAACGAATTTTTATGGAAAAACACAAAGAAGAAACCCCACTTAAAATTGAGTTTTCTACGTGATTCTCAAAAGAATTAAAAAAAACTCACTGTAAAATGTCCAAAATATCCCTCCATGAAATCTGGTCATGAAGGCCAAAAAGCTACTACAATTGAAAAGTGGAAGCTGAAACTTCACGAGGGATTTTTGATATCAAGATGACATTTTCTGAAAAAACACGAAACCCCCCCTAAAATGACATTTTCTAAGCGACTATGTTAAAAGAAGAAAATAAAACTGACATAAAAAGTTTAGAAAGCCCCTAGATCAGATTATGCAACAAAGTTTCAAAATGAGTCCATAGGAGGCTCATGTCACCAAAAAAGAAGGTTTGCCCGGAAACAACCATGCACGCAAACGTAACTTACCTATTAGGACGTGCTACAATGGTTCATGGCTTAAAAATACCATCGATGCAAAATTTGACCCCCCAACAGGCAAAAAAGCAAAAATGAATAAGAAAAGGGAAATTTGAAAACCAAAATTAACAAATGATTTCAAATTACCATTTGGCCCTTGGCCACACTTCAAACATGATTTATAAGACCCTATGAAAGAATAAAAATAGAATTTCCACACTCGATGCAAAAGTTATGAAGTAATGACGTAGCATTTTTTAATATTTTCATAATATTTCATGAAGTTAAAGTTGCATAGAATACAAAATACATGTCATTGGCCTCCGGCCTCATCTCATACATGTCAAATACATTGCATAGAGTGTACTTATGTACACATTACATAATTGGAATTAAATCTACACATTTCGACAAATAAGGTTACAAGTGACATTTCAAGCTAACATTTTCAGGAAAATGATACTTCAAGTCTACGAAACTTCCATGGCATAGTGTGCATCCCAAATCAAGGTCCCTGTACCTGAAAAATGTCCCTATAACGTGGGTGAGTAACGTAAAGCTACTCGTAGGAGATGAGCATGTATCGACCTAACATTTTACAATTATATCACCTTAAGGTGAAACATGTCAAAGGGCTCATGCCACCTAACGTCTATTTCAAAATGAGACTCAGGGATCATCCTAAGCTGTTCATGCAATTTAAAGTGAACAACGGCATACAAGGATACATGCTCAAGTATACTAAGCATCGTTAAAACATGTTACACAACATACAATCATACATTTCTAAGTATACTAAACCATTTTAAGACAAGTCATGCAATGTCTAAGCATATGTACACAAGTATACATTTTATATGGAAATCTCGTAAATCAAGTATACGAACACAAGTATACTAAACTAAAAGAGATACGCCTAAAACAAGTATACACGGCACAAGCACACTAAATGAAATTTAAACTCACGGAGCAAGTATACAAGTTCAAGTATACTAAATAGGATTCAAATATCCAAAACAAGCATCAATTCTCAAGCTACAAGTAATCCATGATTAATAACTTGAAATTGAATGCGAAATCAAATAGTGGAAAGACTAGGATCCTTGGCTGCAGACCAATCAAGTTATTCCGGGTTATTAGCCCGTAAGGTACTACTCAGTGCGCACGTGTATAAGTTATTTCGGGTAATTACGACCCACAAGGTACTACCTACTGTGCACTTCATATGACTTAGGAAACTCACGAATCCGTACTAGGGCCTAACCCTAGCCATCACATGAACATGATCCTTACAAGCCTCCAAAAATAATAAGTTTAAAACTTATGCAAAATCAATAAGTTAAACCAAACTTATATTAAATCTAACAATGCATAAAACCATCTCCCATGCACAAATAAGGTTGAATCCACACAACCATGTCCTAGAATTCAAGTCTACATAGTATATGATATGTCAAGTTTCTATTATGTAATTTATACACAAAGCAAGAATATTTTACAACCATTGAACCACATTACCATCTAAGCCTCAAGTACTAAATAAGCTACAATTTAGTAACAAGCTTTCAAGGTAAGCAACTGTAATATTCTAACAAGCTATATACCTACACAAGATATATTTAAACAAGCTATTCAAGACAATGATATCACATATCATGCTAAGTCAAATTACCATCTTTAGAGGCGACAAGTACTAATTCTACCACAAGTTAGTAGCATGCTCACAAGGTAATTAAGCGGACTACATTTCAAGGAATTATTAACCTATTACATCCAAAATCAATTTAAGTGACTAACACACTTAAAATAAAATTAATTAAGCTAATTAATTAATTTTTCTCTAGATTTTCAAACATATCCAAATGTCCACAATTTAATATATGTTAAAGAACTCACCAAGGCCTACTTTAATATCACAATACAAGTTGATTTCATGCTTGTTTCAACTATGTAATTTAATCTTTCACAAAAGATAAATATTAAATAAGTTTTACAATTCTTACTCAAATGCTCCAAATTTAATATATGTTACACAACTCACCAAGGCCTAATTTACTAGCATGTCACAATTTAATTCTAAACTATATATCATCATTAGAATTAATTCCTAAACAAAGAAAATAAATAAATTAAATTCTAAAAACTTGAATAGGGCATGCTCACAAGTTGTATATGCTTATAGAACAATCAATACAACAATAATGTTAAACCCCTCTCACTCATATGTCCTAAACGCATATGCCATAGATGGGTAATTTCTGAATCTTGATCAACTGAAGAAGATACTGAAGCAGCGCCTGTCACAGTACTGCCCTGCAAAAAATAGAGGCATTTTCTCTTTTTTCCCTTAAGCATAGTAAGAGCACCTTTAGAAACTCTCAAAATTCCACCTTCAGATGAAAACTTATAACCATTAGAGTCAAGAGTACCAAGAGAAATCAAATTCTTTTTCAAATCTGGAACATGCTGAACATCAGTTAAAGTTTTAACAATACCATTATACACCTTAATTTGGATTGTGCCTATGCCGGCAGTTTTACAAGGATTGTCATTCTCTATTAAGACAGTACCACCATCAACAGAACGGTAAGTAAAAAACCAGTCCCTATTGGGATACATATGATAGGAACAACCAGAATCAAGAACCCATTCACTACTAGAGTGATAATCACTGACAGAAACTGAAAGAACATTTTCGACATCCGAGGAACTTTCCTTAGCAACCCCAGCAATATCAGAAGAATTACTAGTGGATCTATCCTTAGACTCCTTTTTAACATTTTTATCTTTCCTTTTATTTTTCAATTTTGGACAATTCCATTTAATGTGCCCTTTTTGGTGACAATAATAACATTTAGTATCTTTATGAGACCTAGATTTAGATCTCGATTTGCCCCTACTACCAGAACCCTTTTTCTCACTTCTTCTCCTCACAACCAGACCCTCGGCCTTCATCTCCATTATTTCTAGACATCTTTTTTCTTAACTCTTGAGAGTTCAGTGAGGATTTAACATCCTCCATACTAATGGTGTCTTTTCCATAGAGCAATGTAGTAACAAAATGCTCATAGGAAGGAGACAAAGAACATAACAAAATAAGGGCTTGATCTTCTTTATCAATTTTAATATTAGTATTTTTTAAATCCATAATAATATAATTGAAATTATCAACATGTTCTTTAAGAAGGATACCTTTCTTCATACGAAGGGTGTAGAGTCTCTGTTTTAGGTAAAGTCTGTTGGTGAGAGACTTCGTCATGTACAGACTCTCTAATTTCAGCCATAACTTTGCCGCCGTATCTCCATCAATAACTTCACGCAGCACCTCATCTACTAGATTCAGGAGAATCGCACTGCGTGCCTTTTCATCAACCTCATCTTTGTCTTCATTGGACATAGTTTCTGGCAACTTTCCCATCCTAAACTACACCTTCTTTAGACCTTGTTGAGTCAGCAGAGCCTGCATCTTTATACGCCAAAGATTGAAACTAATCTTGCCATCAAATTTCTCAATTTCATATCTAGTTGACATCTCAAAAAACTCCCCAAAATATTTCTAGGTAAATAGTACTGTATTTGTGAACAGTACCCAAAAAATATCTGTGAACAGTACCGTATGTGTAAATAGTATCTGTACACAATACATAAACTGAGCTCTGATACCAGTTTGTTAGGAAAAAAAAAGGATCGAATAAGGGTTTATGAGACCAAGAGAAAAAATAAATGGCAAGAAAAAAAAATAGCGCACACACAAACGAGACAAGGATTTACGTGATTCGGCTGTGCCTATATCAACGGGGAGAAGACAAATCAATATTTCACTATAGAAATATAGAGATACAAGGCTAAGTGGCTTACACCCAATACCCAAATTGCACCCAAACTCTTACACACTTTGCTTTGCTTTTATGAGCAAATTCACACTCAAATTTTTGAATGCTTAAAACACTATGGGAGCAAGGCTATTTATAGCCAAAATGTTATCACTGTTTGTGAACTTGGAGACCACACATGGGGAAGCTTGCTGAATACAATTCTTCGAGGCCAAGTTGATGATGCAGCAAATGATGTAATGGGTGATGAAAAAACAACTTGCTGAGTTGGCTGAATTTGAGCTATAAATTCAACACCTTTCAAACAATATATGAGCACGGTAGTATAAGCTCTAATAAGGCCTATGAGGAAGGGCAGCCCCTATTTTCTTCCAACAATTTTTAATTTGGGGATGAGCCTTGCAGTGCAGAACCATGTCCAAACCTTCTTCGCCCAAATTATTCACCTTTATGTAGTTATATACAGCATCTTTTATCATCTCATTTTCTTCTAGTGAAAACCGCTTGCCTCGAACTAAATTATGTTCCTATTCTTTTGTCTTCAATGTAAATGGATCATCAGACAATGGGAAGACGTCTACATGATCAGAAAACCTAATTTTCTTAGATTTTCCTTCTGATTTAGGATCTTTGGAACTATTTTCAACTGTATCAGGCTGCTTCTTTTTCCTCTTCTCTTTGTTGAATTTTTCATCTCTCTGTCGACTATCTTATTCCTACTTGAATTAGTATTACCTTCACTGTAAACAAAATCTTTATCTTCAACAGTAGTCCTTTCATTATTATGTTCCTTAGCTTCGATTTCTTGAAATCCAGCACTCAAGTCATTCTCATCCAGTTTCTTTTTTCTCTTTCTGTTCTTCTTTTCAACCTTCTCCACAATATCCTCGCTAAAGTCCTCCCTCGCTTTTTCAACCTCTTTTCCATCTGTAATTTTCTTGTGTTCTTTTAGATCACCATCCTACATGTCCCTTCTCATTTTGTTCCTCTTTCTAGTCCCTTGTTCTCCATTTTTCATTTCAGTGACATCTTTCTTCTCAAAGCTGTTGTGCTGATTAACCACATAAACTTTTCTCATATTATTGTCCTCAAGGATTTCCATTGAAGACAAAAGAATATCACTTTCACCTTTCTTTCTGTCCTCCTTGCGCCTCTTCGTCTCATCTTTTCTAGATTTCAACAAATTTTCATGTCCTGAATCCTTGCCACCATTTGTCTGCACTCTTCTATTCTCATCTCCTTCCATGTGAGACACATTATTTGAAGTATCATTATCTTCAGCAACTTCAAATTTTGGCTTCTTCTTTTTCTTCCTCCTATCCTTCTCCAGATGAGTGTTATCCACTTCTGCACAATACTTTTACATCAACAACTTCATCAGAAGTCCCATCAATTTGAACATCATTCCAAACCTCTTGTTTCTTCTTATCCTTCCTTCTCCTATCTTCTTTGCTCGATTTGACATTACCCTCCATCTTACTAGGCACTACATCTATGCAGTCAACTGCCTCTTCCAAACTATTGGCTACATTCTTCTTGTTTTTCTTAGACTTCTTCCCAATATTACCGGGCGAGGTTTCCTCCTTTTCCACTCTCGTGTCCATGTGTTTAATATCTCTGTCAGGTTTCTCCACTAATTATGCTACAAATGAGAATAATTCAAAAAAATAAGTCAGAAGGTCAATGGTTGAGTAGTCCTTTCAAACAATCAAAGCACTCAAAGGTAAAGACAAGTAATTTGTTCATCCACCTCTCTGTCCATATACTTTTCCTGTTGTATGCCTACCCCGAATCTTTAACAGTGTGAAAACAGGCATTCACATTATTCACAGTAAAATGGAAGATTGCCTCAAAATTATTTCCCAAACCCCATATTGGCACCAGGTAAGAAGTTCAACAACAACAACAAAAGCAAACACTTATTCCCACTACTAGGATCGGCTATATAAATTATATATTTCCATCTTGTTCTATTTAATGTCATAGCCTCAGTCTAATCACATGCTAGGCACTGGGCAAGAAGTTAATCTATGAAAAGTATAGTAATAACTATCTTGAAAACAAAAAAGGGTATTTGTCTAATTTAATTTACTCAAGTCGCCCAAATAAATATAACTAACAACCACAAATTCAAAATTAGTGCCAATACGATGATGATGACAATTTAGTAAAGTAAATTCCAAGTGAATACGAATGATTCGTGCAATCGAAACAACATGTTATAATTATTTTAGAGAGGTAAATAATAAATCATAAATGCATAAATTCAAGCATAAGAACCCGTGTGTGTGCGCGTGTATGGATAAGCATGCAAAGAAACATATAGAGATATTCTGATGAAGGCAGTTGAATCACCTTGTTGTATGCGAACAAGCTAAGTACGCCTCACTGAGTCGCTGATAAGGGTTTGGAGTTTGATCTTCTATTTTTTAGGTGTTACCACTAATTGGCCGGGTTGCAAAGGATTGAGTAGGGTTGGGTCAAGTTCTAAATAGAAGGGGCTCAGTCTGACGAGACACTCAAAGTTCGTCAATCAAAATTTTCTTAGCTAACATCACTGGTATCTTCCAAAGACTTTTTTAACTCCGTCTCTCTTATTTCATTTGTAGGCTCTATAACATCATTACCATCATCATCATAATCACTACTAAATAAACATCTCTATATATTCTTATGAAGGCAGTTGAATCACCTTGTTGTAAGCGAACAAGCTAAGCACTCCATACCGAGTCACTGATTAGGGTTTGGAGTTTAATCTTCTCCTTTTTAGGTGTTGGCACTAATTGGCCGGGTTGCAAAGGATTGAGCGGGTTGGGTCAAGTTCTAAATGGAAGGGACTCAGTCTAACATGACACTCACAGTTCATCTCTCTTCCTTCATTTGTAGGCCATCATTACCATCATCATCATAATCACTACTAAAATAAGAATCTCTATACATCCTATATGCTTCTGTCATTTCCACATCATCTCTATCTCCATCTCCATCTCATTCATCTTGTTGAGACATAGGACTTTTGATAAAAGCATAATTAACCTCCAAAATTATGCTCTCTCTATCCCAAAAAAAAAATGTCATACTTTCCTTTTTTTTGTCCATCCCAAAATGAATGTCATGTTTCACAATTCACAATACTATTTTTTTTTAATATTCTAAATTTACCCTTGTCTTGAATTTCTAAAAACAATTAAAAACTGCATTTGAACCTACTATAAAAAGCTAGCAATACGGAGTAACAAACAGTTTTAAGCTATGTGCTAAGCCGAATGCAAATAAACATATGTGATAAACCCTCTTCCCTTGAGACTTTCTTCAAAGTCCCATATAAGAAAATTATTTCTATTTAATTACAACAACACCCCCCCCACCCCCCCCCCCCCACCCCTTTTTCCTTCGGACTATTAAATTCGAAGCAATAGTAAGACAACGTAAAAATACCTAGATGAGAAAATAATGCAATTTACCCAAATCTATTGTTTCAAAAACAGAGTTGAGTTCATTTTTTTCTGTTGAGTAGGCCTAGTTTGATTATTTCACGTGCAGGAACTGATGTACAAATAAACAGAAAATCAACAATAGAAAATCAACAACAGATGGAGCAGTGATATGTGATGTACAAATAAATAGAAAATCAACAATAGATGGAGCGGTGATTTGTGATGTACAAATAAATAGAAAATCAACAACAAATGGAGTAGTGATATCTCACATCTTGAAGGCTTCTGTCCAATAAAACCAATTCCCAAAGAGATTAAGCCAGCTCAAGAAACCCCAGCTCTTGCAAGACACCAATTGCCCAGCTCAATCAAAATCTAATCTCATTTCATGTGACTCGTCTTTAGTTCACTAGCCATCATCTTTTTTTTTTTTTTTTTTTTTTTTAATAGTTCGATGGGTGGGTAAGCTTTGAATAAATAAAAAAGAGAATGTACAAGAAATCCGAATAAGGACAGGACAAGCCAAGGCCAAACAAGACAACCAAGGCTGTCATAAGAACACAGAAGTGATCAACCAATAAAACAGACAACAGAAGCAACAACCAATACAAACACCCTAAACTTTAAACTTTTCGGTCAATAAGAACCCTATTATCTCTCTCAACTGGCAGATAGTATTGCATACAACAGAGGCAAAAACACTGTAGAAGAAATCAATGCTACACTGAGCATAAGAATGAAACACTAGGAACCCATGCACCAATTAGAACCCCAAGTACGAGCATCCAAACATCCCAGTCCGAACAAGAAAGTGGATGTTAATCCATAATACACTATGATTGTCCCCTTGCAAAAATAGATGATGAAAATCTACCATCATTTTTTCCCTAACTCATTACCCATCATTTATTTCATTTAAGAAATTATACGCTAAAGAGAACAAAAACCTTATGCCGTCCACACTAGAAAATTTTTAAGTACATAGATGCATATATGGAAATTTTAGTTGCCAATATCAGAAGTAAAGTTGAGTTCATTATACTCTAATGGTTTAATGGTATAAGGTGAAATAGTTGGAGAGAGAATTCAGACCACAAAAGAATAAAATATAGATGTTCATTGCCATTTACACGTGTATAATTGCAGAAGATGCTTTCATCCACCATGAAACACATGACATAGATAAAAATACCAATTAGCAAAAACCAAAATAAGCTTACAACACCAAAAAAGAAAACAAAAAAGTCACCATGTACCTAAATCTAACTATTAGCACCAACTCAAAATACAACAACAGTGATCTATATGTTGTTCAACCCAAATATAGTAGTGATCTCATTAACATTAGAATAAAACAGAACACTATTTCTCTTCTAACTTCTCCTTGGTTAAAAGTGACTTCATGTAGCAATTTTCATTTTTTACATAAAAACCTGTCAAAAACATTAACTTTAAACTTATTCTTTATCAAATTAAAAGTCTAAATAAATAAACGTATACTCCACAAAAGGGAAAAAAAAAACTTACCTTGCTATCAAAAGTATCATTCCTGTTGAAGATGAATGAGAGCTCTTTCAACAACATCAAGTTCATAGCACAATTGAGAAGGAAGATTGTTATCTTTCTCCAATTGGTTTTTCCCCATATGTGGCAATTTGTTATTATTTCCCATATAGACCTTTATTGTTTCAATCATGCATCCTTACAATGTTAAGAAAACATGATCAAGACTTTTCGTTGGCAATTCATTAAAAGCTTTTTCTACATCAACAACTAACTCATCAACTGTAGTGGGAGCTTGTTGGTATTGAAGTGATTGAATTGCTCTAAAAAACCCAAGATCAAGCACATTCAAATCTGGACTATTTGGAGGTAAATGATAACTGTATATTAAATCCATCTTTGGCTGCAGCTTCAAGGAATTCCGCATCCGAGGAATCTATATGAGGTTTTACATTGTCTTGTTGAATAAAATTTGTTTCCCTCATAGTGCAACTAGGCCATTTAGCTTGAATATCTGGTAAAACTTTCTCAATTAAACATGATTGAATTACACCTTTAGTTGCCGACAACATTGGTTTGGTCTCTAACGTTCCAGCCACACGATTTTTGCTACTTTGTTTTGCAGGAACCTTGCATGTAAATGGATAAATTCCAATATTTCCCAAGAACACTTCATTATGAAAGGTATCAAATCGTGACCTAGCAACAGCAGCTAAAAACATAACCTTTGTGATGAACCTTTTGCTCTTACAAGTACTTACAGGTTCATCTTCTTCCGGAAGAAGATAGTATTTCTCTGATTCTTTCGACATATAAAACTACTTTTCATCAATATGGATACAGTTAAGCATATTATAGACAATTGGCATATTATGAAGACTACATGGCTCAAGCATTGACAAATAGAACATAAGCCTTACCTTTTTATTTTGTTAAGATAAATAGGGCTTCAAGGCATTCGAATGCGGTCTAATAAAACCCTCTTTGATTCTTCTATGGAGTGTTGATTTGGCAACTTGCATAGCAAACGATAAAGATCGAATATTTCTTCGTTGCCAAAGAGGAATTTCTTATACTTTCCTGAAGTTAATTTGTATCGGCTTGCGGCCAACTTTCTTCGGATTTTTGTTGGTTACACCAACTACCAACCCATTTGAAAATTCTGACTTTGCCTGCTTCCAAATACGTTGAATGGTTCTGACAGAAACAGAAAACATACTTGCTGTCGCACTTATCGAGCCCCTTTTCACTTTTCCATTTTCACTTCCCTTGAGAAGAAGGGCGAGAATTGTTTGACGTTCTTCGTTACTTAATTCCTTTATGATTTTGCATTGAACAGAGTCTGAATTTGGTAAGGTTTTGAAAGCTGGGTTGTTTAGAGAGTAAAGAAAGAGAATGGAATAATGATAAGCATGAGGGAAAGAGATAACAGAAAAAAAAGATAAGCATATGGATAACTATAGATAAGCATTGGGTAAGAGTAGTAGGGTGTGGATTAGGAGTTCTTCGTTTAAGAGTATTGGGTTAGTTGAATTGAGTTCCCTAAAAAATTCTGTTTATTTTGAATTTTTGTACAACCGCCTTTTTTTTTTTAATTTTTTTTTTATTTAGTTAAAAATATTTGCACAAGTGGCACCAACATTTAAGAAGTCCCTATTAATGAA